TAATAGCAATGGCCTCCAACCTAATAGCAATGGCCTCCAACCCAATAGCAATGGCCCATGGGGCTTCTGCTGCAACCACTAGTGGATGTAGGTAACCAGTGGTTCCGACTAAAACCGAAGAATAGAAGAATAGTGGTCCCTTAAGTGTATCTGGGATCCACTAGGAACTATATATTAGATTATATTAGATCATATATAGCTTAGCTCAAGCAAGTGGCAGTTCTGTGCTACCCAGTGAGAGTCAAATAAGCACATGGAACTGCGAGGGGTTCGAGGTCCAGTCCCATGTTCCCAATCGAAACTATTGTTCCTTGAAAAATGCGTCGGTTACGAGGCCCCGTTCTGTCGGAGCTGGAACGTTTCGTCTTCTCGAGGCCGAGCCGATCACCCGGTTTCCCCGAGCGGCGTGCGCCCAGTTCACGAAAGAGCTGGCGGCGCTCGGACAGGACGCTGGCAGCATCGCTGGGGCGGCCCAGGAGGATGTAGCCTGGGCGGAGATGTAGCATACTGTCCGGTCGGACCGCCACGGTCCGCTGATCGACGGAATGGCCGGATGCCTCCGGACTGTGACGTGGAACACTGTGACTGTGCGTGCTTTTAGGAAGCCCTTTCCGGGGCTGTTGAGTGCAGCGCTCTCGGGTCAAGTTGGTGCAGTTTGGTGCAGTTCCGGGATGAAAGAGGCCAGGTCCTTTCAAGGCTGCCATTATCCTAATTGGATCGCTTTGAACCCTACCCTGGGAGTCAAAGACGGCAAGAATGTTGCAAAAAGAATGGTCTTTACAGGTGCGACTCGAAAAGGAACTTCAATGTGACGAAAAATTGTCGGGCATACAGCATGCTTCATGATCTTCATGAGTCATTTTCGGAAGCACCGTGAAACCGATTCAGAAAGTTCTGCGTAGGTCTTCAGGTCGTCAGGCCAGGCTCAGGTGGCCAGGCTCAGTTTCGAACCCGGAGCAGAAACCATGAAAAGGACATGTGTTTTTTTTGTTTGACTGTTCATGGGAGGGGCCGGATATGGTTGTGGGGTCACACTGGACACGAAGTTCATTCCATCAACTCCAGTGGATCGGCTCGCCTCCAGCGAGAATGTGTATCATCCAAATGTGTTCTTCGTGGACACGTGATATGATGTCATCAGTAGCGGCACATCTGTGGCACATCTGTGTGGCTCTTCACTCATGAAGCCTGCCACCTGGTCATCTCAATGCTTAAGTTGGTCCTCATTGAATTCGGATTCATCTCCTCAAAAAAAACAAAGCCTGGCAAGCCTGGGCGTTGCTTCGACAACACCTCTAATTGTCGTTCTTTTTCCGGGCGTTCGGCCGTTCCCGGGGCACCGGAACGGGTCGGTCGGCGCCGGTGGCAACGCTGCGAACGGTCGGCAGTTCCAAAGCAGAAGGCGAACAAACACACGAGGCGGCTGCATGTTTCCTGCATGCCAGAGGCCAAGAGGGGCGGCATGCCAGAGGTCAACGGGATGTTCCGGCAAGAATCGAACGGAAGGGAAGGCACTGCATGCCGTCTGCATCTTGGCAAACACCCTTCCACAAGTTCCGGAAGGAAAATCAAAGCGTTTCTCCTTCCATTCCCGTTCCAATCCGTGGGACTGATATATCTACCTATACAATGACCAATGAAACCCACCCCAACATATACCTGGACCATTTAATGGATGTCTTATGAAGATTCCTAAGCAGTGTAATTAAGGTACTTAGTACATTGGACACCCAAACAGGATGGTCCTGCTATGTATACATACACAGACAGGACAAAAGTTGGTAACAAGCCCGTAAGGACGTGTCCTACAACCCTCTCGGGATCACAGTGGAATTCCGCCGGAGGAATTTCCACCCCGAAATACCCCGAAGTAATTGTTTAATCTAGGATTTAAAAAGCTGGTTCGGGGTGGAAACTCCTCCGGAATTTCAAGAGGAAGGAGAGTTGTCAGTTACATATCTCATTGGATTCTGGAGCACGGCTGGGCGGCTACCAAACTTTTTTCCTGAAGTATGTCGGGTTTATGGATTCGTTGGAATTGCCGCCGAGCAGCACTTGGCGATGGAGGGGATGGCATCCGCCTGCAATCGACCACCCCCAGACAAACAGAAGCGTGAGAAGTCGTGCGCCTGCCAGTGAAAGAGGCTGCAATAGATACTCCACCTATGCATTTTATACGCTGTTTATCGCGGTTTATACCTCTGTCCTACACCGAAACTCCCTATACACATGATAGACCACCTGCTTGCCTCTGTCCTACTTCGAAGTGGACAAATACACGTCGATGGCCTCCTGTCTCCAAACGACGTCGACGGAGGACCTTTAGATCCGAACGATCCGAACTCTATCATGGCTCCAAACTTCACACGCAATTCGAACCCAAAAACACAACGAACCTGGACCTTCAAGGGGTGTCCAATCCAGGTCCATTGGTGACCCCTTTGAAGGTGCTGGAAAACAAAGTCGCAACGTCATGGAGGCCCCCGAATCAGATTCCTTGAGCCGGTCCGATGACTTAACCCAAAAACTCTCCTGACCTTGTCGAAGTTCCGATCAAATCCGTTGACCTTCATTTCAGATCATTTCAATCCAAATCGTCAAATAACTCAATCCAGATCGTTTTGATCAGGCACTGTTTCATACTCTGGGCTTGGAGAAAATAGTGCTGAGAGTGGATCACATGTCCTCTCAGTGTTGGGACCAAAGATGCGGAGATACTCGGAGATCTGGAAAAAGGAAACCGCCCAAGCAAATTAGTAGATTCAACCAATAGCGTCACAGAAAATCCTCACTGAACTTCTCAATTCACCGTATTAAACTATATGTATATAAACATATATTAAATATACTTAAATATATCTATAAATATGTCGATGGACATACTCAGATTGGGAACCAAGAACCGGCGCCCCACTCTTTTGCCTCAAGGTACTTGTCACCGGAGCCGTGCAGTTTTTGCTTCGCTTGCCTTGCGGAGCCAACTCAGGAAAGGGGCCCCCAGTCATCGGCAGACGGAAAATCCAGTCACGGACAAGCAGGAACGCTTAATCTAAAGCTGGAGCTTCCAGAAAACCCCTCCAACATCCAAGCTCCGCCCGTTCCAGAAAAGCTCCAAAACGCCCATGTCCACCATCTTCGCCTCCCAAGCCAGTCCGGGACATCGCCAGATCCGGGCCGGTGGAGCCCGGAGTCGTCCACCGTCCACGTTGGCCGATGTCGCGAGTCCACTCCGTCAACGGCTGCGGTTGGAGCCTTCACTCGGTCGGTCCTCCCAGGCTGAAAGGGGCGAAACGGTGCACCGCATCCACCGTTCCCACCGGTGGTTTGGTCCGAGGCGAAAAGGGGCCGAAGTGCGGTCGAGGCTTCCAAGTGGCTCAGCCCACTTGCAGGCCTCTTCGACCTTTTTCCACGAGTTGGACTTCACATGAATGCTTGCAATCCTCGGATGGGACAAAAGGCGTCATCCGACACCCCAAGAAATCGGGGTGGGATCACCCAAGTTCGGCTATTCTGGCACCCCATCAATTTCTTCAAAGGGGGAAGTAAATCGCCAGGCGGCTGATCGATATCAAGGCATTGTTACTTGGTTTCACAGGGATACGGGATACAAAATGCAGTCGAACAGTTGCCTTTCGTGCTATTCGGTGGTTGATCCAAATGTTGCTCAAAACGTCCGCAGAACCACGATTGACATCCAAGGAGACTGGGGAATATGTTTTTGCAAATGATCGTGGACTGCTGTAGCAGACTTGCCTGGCGTATTCTAAAATTCAAAAAAAAACACCTAGAAAATCATGACATCAGCCCCGGCAGACTTTAAGGTCACCAGAAAAAAAAAAGGTGCAAAATGCATCCGATACACCCAAGTTGACCATGTTTATATTTGATGTGACCCAGCACTCTGGCCTGTGTACCGGGATCCATGGACGGTTAGTTAGGACAGGATACACAGACTAGGCCAGGGGCGGTCAGGGGCGGCCAGGGGGTCTCCTGGATCTTAAATACACAGCGCCGTGTCTGTGTTCTTTGAAGCTCATGCGGTGAGACCAGCTCATCGTCTACCGGATTCCTTCCTGGAGATGTTCGGGATTTGAGGAAAACATTCCACCTTGGCTGTTTCATCTGATGGTCTGTTCTTTTCAGGGTCAGTAATTAGTGACATTACTCAGCAGTGTCTTCTGGCTTAGCAATCGTGTGAGTTTTGCCATCTGTTCCTGTGTTAGTCATCAGTCCATGGACCAGTCCGTTTGTTGTGAAGGAAAGCCCAACCATCTGACTTGTGCTTAGTAGGGAATGAGGGTGGCTGGATCCAATGGAATCTCTTTGGGGGGGCTCGTACCAACTGCCAAAGCCAACAGCAGTTGGATCAAGTGGCACAGAGTAGCACAGAGTGGCTGAATCCGAGTCGCACCAAGTGGCACACCTTCCCACCATGCAAACACATGTTCGACCACATGGGAAGACACACCTGGTCGTCGTTAGAAAAAAAGAAGAACGAATGCTGTGAAGTCGGAGAGTACTCTGAATGGAGTGGAGTGGTCTCCAAATCGAACGGAGATATCTCAGATCGATGTTTCTGAAGCACACAGATGTCTCCATCTGAGAAGTCTGAGATGATCGTTTTCCTTCTTTCATGGATGAATGATAGCTTTCAAAAGCTAAGATCCTCATCCACTCATATCCACAACACTGACAATACATCCAAAGACTCACCCATGCCTCAATCCCTTACTATCTTTAATGAGCAAATGGGACCAAGCACTTCGTCCATCCTCGTCTTCCACCCAGGGTTCAGCTCCAATTCTCTTGCTTCCCAGGCCGATGACAGCTCTGAGGTCGACTGCAGCGTTGCCAGAGTCTTGTCTGAGATGGCGTGGGCCTCGCGACAGCCACCAATGCACCATTAAAAGAAAAGGCACCAAGAATCATTGACTGGAAGCTGTTGGTCATCTAGCTGATTGAAGTGACTAGAAACATGTAGCAGTGGTCAAGCCCATCACTGACATCAAAGGTACTGGTTTTCATGGTTGAAGATACTAGGTGTTGGGGCAAGTTCGCTGCCACCTTGCAACCCACTGCTAAGATCTTCAAAATAAAGAGAACACCTCAACCAAATGTCTCCCAGAACACCCCAACTCACATCTCGGAGTCTCAGAAGCTGGACAAACCGCCGTGAACATCACCGTCTCTCCGGACTCGACCAGACGGTCCAAAAGCGGCCTTCTCCCGATCCCCAGGTCCATCCAAGCGCTTCAGGCACTGCACCCAGGCGTCGCGCAGCAGCACGCGAGGCCCTGGCGTGAAAAATCCGGTGTCATGCCATTCACTTCCTGATGTGTTTGTCAAAGACGTATAAAGTATAGCTGGAGCAGTAGATGGATCCTGATGAGAAGAAGCGGTTTTGGGTTCGATCCCTCTTGGGAAATGATGCCCAAATCACTTTAGACATCATGTAGAGTGTTGATGAATAAAACCCCCCCTGGCACCTGGAGATGAAAAGCCATTCTGGAGATGGGGGTGTTCAAAAAATTGTAAGAATCAAGAGTCTACATGAATTCGTTGGTCCGCTCGACCATCTTTCTGATCATGATGTTTGACTTGATCAAGCTTGGACAGCTCAGAACTCGTAAGAGTTGCATGACTAGTGTGGAATTGGCCCCCGGGTATCCGGAGACACAAGGGTCAGTGACAACAACGCTGATCCCGGTCTTGGGTCAACCAGAACTGCTGCGTCGGAGCCCAGCAGCTAGGTCAAGGTAGCTTCCGCGTCCCAGTCGGCGTCCGTGGGACACCCAAATCAAACAAACAAATGAAGTGCCGGACAACTGAGATTCACTGAATTCAATCAACCACAAGGTTGGTCTGTCGGTCTGTCCATAACCATGCGTACTCTGTAATTACCAATACTGTACCTGGCCAAATAACGATATATGTCCACCCCTCTGTTGAGGAAAAGCAGAAGGCGCGACCCAAAACGCTTGAGGCAGACATTCGATCCAGCTATCCCACAGCGTTCACCCCGCAGCGCGGCCGGGCGCCTGGACCCCGTGCTGTCCGCATGTGCTGCCGCAAGGCCTCCTTTGCAACAACGGTGCTGCCGGCATTCAAAACACTCTGAAGGCTGAGGAACCCGCGTTTGGGAGCAAGGAACATGGACCAAAAGAAGGCACTCCTTCGAACTACTCGTGGAAGTGCGGTTCGCCAGCTGTTTTGAATATGGCCAAATGGTCATCCACGCCATCCACGTGGTCTCGTGGTTTGTTCCAGGGAGTCTATCTCATTAAAAGACCTCTAGAACAAGGCTCCAATTCTTCGTGAGTGTCGCGCGAGTTGTGAAACGCGCGCGCGTTTTCTCATCCTTGGCTGCATCATGGGACGTCTCGGCTAAGAGAGCCTCCGCGGAGGACGGTGAGGACAGATGAGGACGTCGACTTTTCGGGTCAAGGAGAGCTTCTGAATTGGGAGAGGACGTGTGACACACGGTGTTTCCAGGAGGGTCATATTGAAATTGAGGAGGTATGACTGGAGTCCTAGGGGCTCTCTGATTCTCTTGTTTTGGTTCGAACCAATGTGTCCAAGTCATACGGAGTCATACGGACCCGGTCTTCTTTTTTTGGGGGGGTGTGGGCTTCGGTTTTTGTTCGTCTTCGTCCAACGTTTTCGTGAAATTGTGATGCATTTTTGAATGAACCATGCCAGCTTGTGGGCAGCATTGTTCCAACACACCTACAGGTACCACTTAATTACATAGAGTTCGGGGTACCTAGTGAACTTCCCATTCACTTCACTATGTCACCTTTCTTTCACATTTAAAGAAGACAAAGAGAAGGTATGCGGATACGCACCATGATAGACATCGAACATTAACATACCTTAACTGTCTCATTCTTCCCACTTCCCTTTTTGCAAGTGAAATCACTCATTCGATGCCGATTCCTCAACAGAAGCCGACTCGAGCTCCAACCAAACGCTCCGAGCAAAAACCACCTGCGTCTGAAGGCTCAGCGCACACTGCGCCCATCCACTCGCACGAAGTTCCATCTGCTCCTCCATCGACCCCGCAGTCAAACCGGTCGACCGAAGAAAAGCGGAAAGTTCGGCGAGGTAGTTGTTTCGGCGAGAAAGTTTCGGAGAGATCTGCGTAGCAGTTGGTTACAAACCGTTGCCTCGGCGCGATAGATTCGAGCTAGCTAAGCAGGCTGTCTGGTGGGCAACGGGCACAGGCCAAAAGAATCGGAAACCCCAACAAAAGGAAACGTTTTTTCTGGTAGAAACACTTTGGTTTTGATGTTAAGCAGGTTCTTTCTGGTTTCTCCATAGAGTTTGATTCATCAGTCGATTAATCCAAACCGACCTCTCCACCCACACCACCTCGCCACTGCCCACCACAATCCCGTCGGCTCCCACAGCCGCTGCGCTTCGCCCGCGGCTGCGGCCGCAGCGCGGAAGCGGCCGCCCAAGCTGTGGCTGCTGGAGGCCAACAAATACCTCGGTCGCAGCCGGTCGCCGGGGTGGGGCCGTGGGAGTGTTCAAGACTTCATCGGTTTTTTCGGTCTTTTCTCCGTCTTCTTGGCACATGAATGTGAGGGTGGGTTAAAAATGCCAAAACCACTCACATGGGTTTTGATTTGTCCCATCTCTCCTTGCAGGAAAAGGAAAGAGAGAAGGAAAAGGCTTCACCTGGGGATGACTTTCTGGACTAAGAGGACGGTGAAGATCTTCAATGATTGGCATTTCTAGTAGCACCTGTTTCGAGGTTACAACCTGAAGTTCATCCTGAAGTTCAGTCATCACTGGTCCTGGTGGTGCACATTTCAGCTGTGGGGGAAGCAATCAACTGCTCACCAGTTGATGCAGCACCACCTGAAAAAGATGTTCTTTGTCTTTCCCTACCGAGTTTTTTTTGGATCAGAAAGGATCAGACACTATCAGTGACACTGTCACGGCAGTGGACACGGTGATCCAACACTGTAGAACCATTGCTCCACTAGGCTCCACACATGGCTGTGCAGCTGTGTAGCTCAAATAGGGGAGACCTCCCAGGAAACGGCCTGGGTTTGGTTTGGAAAATAGACCTGATTGGTCCAGGAGGTCTCCAAAAACTCCTGGATATAAAATACACACCCACATCATCATTGGTTTTCCTCACCAGCGAAATCGGCGTTTCGAAATCGGTCCCGGTCCATCATCCGTCTGTCTCGTCCAGCGACATCAAGGCTGCCAGCAGCCGCAGATCTCCGGTTTCCTGTGCCCAAGGAATCGCTTCCTGCGACGAAGACCGTCGTGCGGGAGCTTCTCGAGAAGCTCCCAGCATCGAAGGGAAGAGGAAGATAACCCTCCGACCAGAGGGAAACCTGCCTGCTCAAAATGGGAAACCTGCCGCAACATCCAAAGCGGTTTGAGTTAACCTTTTGAGGGTCTATGTGTGGTACCTGCACCTGGCGTTGCACTCAAAAATGTCCTATCTCTCGCTCTTCGCACATCTGAGTCCTAAGTATTATGTTATATTATATGTGTATGTGTATATATATATATACAGTATATATATATTGCAATTACCTGTATATTTTTTATTGGAGCATGATCTGAGCAGCGATGTTGCCCCACATAGTGGGTTTGGGTTCACGATAACTTTGGTGGCAAATGAAGCAAACGTTCAAGACCTCTATAATCTCTATAGGAAGACACGCATTCTGCTCAGCATTCTACATTCTGCCACGGAAAACCACTCCTCTTCTTCAGCCCTCCCCGTGGGCCGAGCCGTCCTTGGTGGAAGCAATCACTGCGGCATGTTTCTGCTGCAGCCGCCCCGCCACGCCCAGCAGAAGCCCTGCACGGGCGCGGCACGCGCTCGCGCCGGCGTCCTCGCTCGCATCCAGGAGGCGCAGGGCCTGCTGGGCTGCTGCCTCGATCAAATGCACCCGGCAGTCTCCCGGAACACACATGAACACATGGAAAATCACGCAAAATCATCTATACATACAAAAGTAATCTAACATCACAACCTCTAGTCCTCCACCACCGACTCAACGGTCCTCTTTTCTGTAGCCAGACCATGCCCGCTCTCCACCCGTCTTCTCTCCATCCTTTCCTCGCCCTCGCGCGCACGCGCCCGCAGGCCTCCGCTTCATGGAATTGATACCTTCTCACCTGTGTCAGTGGGACAGTTGAGGTTTGTCTTTTGGACAGCGTGACCCACTTTAAAATCCAGCCAGGGCCGTTTTCATCTCTCATCTCTCCTCCTGGTTTTGCCATTGGATACTTTCCGTAAGCACAACGCTCGAAACCAACGCCAGACCGGTTGAATGAGTGGAGACAGCCCCAACCATTCCGTTGAATTCATCTTCAAAGACTTGAAAGCCCCTTCGCGACGATGATTGGCAATCTTACGCTTCACCGTAACACAGCTTCCCACCAATACGCTGAAGGAGTGGGCTGCCCGTGCCCTTTCTGACTTGGAGATCGCGGACCAGGAGATGGCACCTAGGTAAGATGCTTTCCTTCGTCGCATTCGCCTGTGCCGCAGGGGAACTTTGGAAGGGAGCGGTGGCGGCCTATGCGGGGACAACACCATCGCGAAGAACTGGCTTCAGTCACTTCGGAGCAATACCCGAGGGGGAAGGTTCTTGATCAGGGCCCTGAACCTCGTTGAGATGCACTACTACAACTTCACGGTGGTCAGCGGCTGGTGGCGGACCTACCACAACGTCCATGCCGATTTCATCACTAGGCGCACGCAGGCGGAGTTCGAGGCCTTCGTCCTGGACATCTCCGCGGCGATCCACCTGGCATTGGAGGACTCAGCTCGCTATGGAGCTTGCTTCTTATGAACCCTGACAAGCAAGATGACCGAGCACTACAGCTGCAGCTCCGTGAGAGAAGGGTGACGAAACAAGTCCAGAGGGAACTCACCATTCCGCGGAGGGCTTTTGCTGTGAGAGAATGGACCCCCCCGCGCTGATGGCTGAAAGACTTTGAGGCTTTGGGGGGCGCTCTGGGCGCCGCCATTGAGGACACACAAGGCCGGCCGCGGTCCTGTTGTGCGCCACCTTGGGGGTAGACTACAAGGGCAAGCACATGGAGCAATACCCTTCATGGATGTGACGCCCGCCTGGGCTTGGTTGAGGGGCCCACAAAGGTTAACTGGAACGAGGCCAACAGCGGTGTGAGCGCCGGGGCTGGGGCTATGGAGTCATTGACTTTGTCGCCACAGAAATGGAGAGGCGCTGACACGGAGGGGATGCTGCCTGGTGGTTAACCGCCGTGGAGCTCTACGCGAGGCCTGGGAGGAGTCATTGGTGCGGGCTATGGGACCAGTGCCAATGAGTTCACTGTTGAAGCAGAAGGATCACCACGACCTATGCTGGGTCAAGCCCCTCCGATTGGAACTAGAGAGTGGCATCCCGAGGGATCGGATGCTCCCACAGCCGGCTGGGCATGTATGGTGGGGTGGGGAGCGCGAGGTGATCCATGGGATTGGAGCCCAGGCCGCTGGCCCTTGCTCTCGGAACATGGGGATAGTCTTCAAGACTACTACATCTATGATCGTCGAGGGCCCGGAGGTCACGTACGACGTCTTGATCCTGAAGAACTTTGGGCGCTTCAAGGGCGTGTGCTACATGACCTATCGGCCAACCTCACAGTCGAGGAGGCGGCGATCGAGGGAGTGCGGGCAACAGGGGTTCAGACCGCGGTCAATCTGGTCACCCTGAAAGGGCAGATTCTCTGTGAGCTCCGACAACAGCTGCAAACTTGAGAAAAGCGGGCATGATGCCCGACGAGACGGGTGCAGAGGCTATGGCTCAGATCCTTCTGCGGCCCCGCAAATGGAAACGAGGAGAGTTGAGGAGGAACCCGCCTGACTACGGTGAGAGCTTTGTCAAGGCTGGTGGCGGGACGGAGCCATCGCAGCAGTGTATTTGGAGATGGGCAGAGGCTTGGGCTTGGTGGGATCAGTGCTTGTGGGAGGACGACGAGGAGACCTACCCCATGGACATCGACCAGGAGACGAACGGCTACTACGCGTGGGGGCGTGCAAAACGCACTACTGATCCTCTCAAGGTGGCAGCGGCAGTCGGCGCTCAAGCTGTCCACCTCACCAAGAGCTATGCCCCGTTCTGTGGAGATGTCGAGCGGGTGGAAGAATGGCTGGAGGAGAACATGACCGGGGACAAGAGTGTCGCCACGGCAAAAGCCTACGGGGGTGCCTGGGCCAAATGGTGTGCCTGGGCTAAGAGACAAGGTTGGGTGGACGAGTTCCTGAACCGCAACATCGGCCCGATCGAGAACGAGAACCGTGTCTTGGCCTACGTAGGCTACTTGGGTTGGTTGGGAGCTTCTCCCAACACCATCCGCCAGCACATCTTCGCGATGAAGACTGTCCACTAGAGGAGCGGGAGGGAGACCCGTTCGAAGGGATCCATCGCGTGTGGATCCTTGTCCATGCCTTGGATCGGAGGTCGACCACCCGGCCTCGCCGCCTTGGCGTCACGCCAGAGATGTTGGTGTGGTTGGGCGAGAACCTCTTGGACCACTTGGTGAACGATCAGCACTCCATGGCCTATGCGGAGGCGGTGATGGTCATGGCGGCCTTGGAGCTGGCTTGGTTCTTCATGCTGCGAGCCAAGGAGTTCGGGGGGTCCAACGGGGTCAGATCTCCCTGTTCTTCCGGAAGACCAAGAGTGACCAGCTGGCCTTTGGGGACACCAAAACGCTGCAAGCCACGGGCAAGAGGCATCTCTGTCGGGTAGAGGCCGTGGACCGAATGAGGCCAGTGTGGACAATGCGCTTCCAAGCCGGTCACGCTGAGAGTATGAAGCCGCTGGCCAGGTGATCAAAAGGATCAAGATCCAGCACTTCCTCCAGGAGGCCGCAGGCTTGCCACCAGGGAGGTTCATGTCCCACTCATTGAGGATCGGAGGCGCTTCAGCCTTGTTCCAGTTGACGGTTGGCATCGAGCTGGTGAAGCGGGCAGGGAGATGGTCCTCTTCGGCAGTGCTGGGGGGTGAGTCAGCCCGGTCTCGAAGAAGATGGCCGCCGTGGGTGACCTGACGACCTTCAAGTGAGGAGTGGGCTGGGGAAGGCAACAAAAAGGTTGCCACAAGGCCTGGACTTCGAAGAAGCCAGAGCTGACAGTGTGGTTTGCCGCCGAAAAGGTCGCCCGTCGGTGGAAAGTGCATCACGCACACTGAAGTTTTTTTCCAACACACACACACACACAAACCAAAACAAGAAAACTGCAACTACCTCCTGCCAAGAAAGAACCCAACCCCTCGAAGAGCCTCTCCCCTTCCGCCCGTCCTGCAACTCCCCGAGCACCAGCACGACCAAGACCCTGCCCGCGGCGGCCGTCGCCGGAATCGCGCCACACCGCAGGAAGGCAGCAGAGGCTGCCTGCGAGCGCCAGAAGTGCGGCAGTCCAGAAGTGGTTCTGGTGGCGTCAATGGTCAAAGAGAGGCAGAAAGTATGTATACTCGGAAGTGGAAAACTACCTGTTCCTACAGGAAAGTAGTCTTCCAAGGGACCATGCCATCCTTTTCCATGATTATTTCATTTGTTCAGGGAGTGTAACACCTTTCCCCAGATCAATTCAGTTCTTGTTTGGTGAGCTCAGTCCGCGTGTCAGTCTGTGTCTCTGTGTGCTTGAACACAGTTCTGAAAGATTGATTCCTCGCAGGCAAGACTCTTAGCTATTTGTCTTGCTCCAATGGGATGAACAGAAATAAATGCAAAGCAGGCGTCCAAAAAAAGATATGGTGCACTTGGAGAAACAAGGAACCTTCTCGGAAAGAACCCAAAATCACATGGTATGGTACTACCGCCACACCGGTCCAGAACCCGATGAACCTGAACTTCGGCCGGACGCGGTCGGACCGTTCTTTGCCGAGACCACCGAGGGCCGATACGGCGGGTCCACGAGTCGTAGCTCTGAGGAGGACCAGTCGCTCCCTGTTTTGGCTTGGGAAAGGTTTTGGTTCACCGACCAAACGGGATCACCGGCTCGGCTCCGAATTCGGCTCAGCGGCTGTCCCCCGCGGCCGGTGTCGGGACATATGCTCTTCACAGCACCCGAGTGGTGACCCGTCTCTTGCTAGCAAGATCCTGCTTCCGCATCGGGTCGTTCTGGTCGTGGCATGACCGGTGGGCTGAGACGTTGGAAGTTGACGCGGTTCAACTGGACCAGCTCAACGCCTGGCCCTTCCAATTTGCGAGAAGGTTCACCAAAGTAAAATGTTGTTCAAGGCAAAGAAACTAGAGGATAATCCACTCACTCTGAGACCTTCGGGATATCAACTCAAACCCTCCCCATTGCCACGGGCCACATGCTTCGAAGCCCTGTCTGGGGGGCTTCGACCAGAGTTCGGTTTCTCACCTGGAAAGGAAAACCAGGAAAAAAACAACCAGAAACACATGGATAAAACTCCCAAGTCCCAACCTCTTGCTGTAAAGGATCGAAGATTTTTCTGGGTTCCAACAGGTTCCAACCATCTGTTTCTGGTTGGGACTGTGCTTCTCACCTTGCACCACTTTCAAAACCTCCAGCCTCGGCGCAACGAAGGCCCTCATCCAGGTTCTTGGCATCGCAGTGCAATTCAGCCATGGACCTAGGCATTGCTCGCGCGAAAGGGCTCGTGCGCGAAAGGGCTCGTTTTCCTCCGCTCGGGTCAGGAGCCTTCACTCTGCCGATTTTCCATGAATTGTGGTTGCTATGAACAGTTGTTTTTACGGTATCTCGCTGGGCCAACACCCAGCGAGCGTGTCTCTGGGCGAATTGGTTGACATGCGGAGCTTGAACGAAATGGATGTTAGTCTCTGAACCTTCCAGTCGACCTAGGAGGTCTCCCTGTGGAAATCCACACCCAGGTTGTCTCTGCCCTCCGGGCATGTTTTGGGGTGCCGGACACACAGAACCTCACGTGAACACCCGGACACACCTCGCGAACCAGGGATGTTTCGAAAACACGAACCGGCCCTTTCTGAGCCCAGCCGGTTCGATCCGAAACTTCTTTTATGCCTTTTTCACTGAAAAACGCACACTCCACGTTTGAGAAAAAGCTTTTGCTGGTGCATGTGGTTGAACTCCTGGGTCAATTTTTGAGATCCATCGGAAATGTCGCCCAGGTTCTCAGCTTGAAACTCGCCACTCCAACTTCCATGGTTGTGACAAAAAACGGAACAACAACAACAACAACAACAACAACAAAAGGACCATCCGGCACCGACCGTCCGGGCAGCGTCCGACCGGTTTTCCCTCCGGAGGATTCGGCGCTGTCCGACGGGAGGCCGGCCCTGCCAGTGAACGATGGAGTTTAGATGGCACGTACCATTACAATCTACATCAATCTACAGTAACTCTCCATGAGAAGCCTTCACCGTGCTTGACCATTCAAGCACCTACATTGGGTCTTGTGTCATCCACTCTGCTGGAAATAGGTACGATGCACCATAATGCACCTAGTATCGCCTATATATATAGTATTTAAAGGGGAAAGAGCATATGACAACGGCCATGCTTTCATCATTTATCTATAAATCGTATTGTAACGTCAGGTATTTAGATAGAGAATATCAACACCTGTTTTACCAGGTGTCAACCTCGATGGTTGTTCACCATCCCAGTTCGAGTTCGAAGTGACTCTCTCCCAGCAGGTCTCAAGAATAGAAAAAGAACATCACGCCTGAAAGAACTGCGACCCAGCCAGCATACTTCCAAAAAGGGTAATGTGGACTCTTGATTAATGAGCCCCCCTATGAAGAGGATTTTCAATTCAGTCGGTTGGATTTATTAATCAAGATTATCAAGAGTCTACATTATGGACTCTCCTGGTGATTCCACCTTCAGCCAAGGCACATCAAGAAGCAGGCCTCTCCAAAGTCATCGCCGCTCAGCCTCGCACGACGGAGTTCCTCCTCCGCCAACGCCACGGCGGCGGCAGCGAAACGGGCGCCCGTTCCGCCGCCTGCGCAGGGGGCGACGGTCGGGACGTGGGGCGGAAATGCTGACGGCCTTCGTTTGGGACAAATGGACCGGAGTCCAGGTGGACTGGGTAACTGGCCATCCACTCAAATATCAGGTTGGTCGTGTCTACTGGTCTATTGGTCGGCCTATTCTAAACTTCTCGACCCGATTCTCTGCTTTGTGCTTACCATATTCATCCATATTCCAACATATTGTAGCTGCGGTTCAAAACCAGGACACCTGAATACCTTGGCAACCGACTTGCAAACAACGTCCTCTCGCTCCCCATCCACCCCCTTGATACTCAGTGGTATCGGGCATGAAGGGGGTGAACCAAAAACGGACCTATCTAGTGTTGGTGAGTAAAACCCTGATCTGGTTTGGCACAAGCTCGCTCCCTGTGCCTCGGCTGAAAGTCCATCAATCCATGTCAAATCAATTGCTCAGAAAACACGAAGCATTGCCTGAACTCCTCTGGTCCCTTCCTATCTGCCTGGCAGCTCATGACCTCCCCCAAGACAACAGCGAAGCCACGCAGTCACCCCCCCAACTCCAAACCGCAGCTCAGCCACACGCGCAACTCCTCGCACGCAGCGCATGAATCACCGTGCGGGCGGACCAAGCTGCCGAGTGAAAGTCCCCATCCGCCATGAAGAGATGCCAGGCCTCAACGGCCGTGTGCCTCAGTCGACCGTGAACGACGCGGTTGGCCTCGGTCGGGACCGACCTACAGTCCCGTGCCAGGGCTCCCGGGTCCAGATCCGGTTCGGTGAGCACAAACCCGGCATCCACCCCTGGCCCACCTTCTGAGGATCTGGTTGGAGCCCTCGGGAATCACACTTTGATGGCATCCCGAATCCCGCCGCACAAAATGACGGAAATGGAGTACCACTTACTAAGACCTTACCGGAGACATATGTTTTGAGCGTGGATGCCATCAAATTGTGCTGTGTTGTGACTCTGCAGTTTGAGGATTCCGTCGCCCACATGTGAACAGTTCCTTTTCGCGATTACTGGGTTATTGCTGAACCACTCCATCCAAATGAATACAAAATAGCAACATCAACATACAGCACATATGGGGAATCACACTTTGATGGCACACCATGATCAAAGCCGGCGATCTGACAACACAACCAAGCCCAAATGCCATCAACCTGTTTGCTCCACACATGTTTGCATGTAAATCCAGCCAGCGGTTGAAGCCTTTTGAAGGACGTCGTTGTTTATTGTTTTTTCAGAATCTCACTAGATGCCATCTATTTGTTCCGGGATCTAGCCTCAAGTGGTTGATGGCATTTCCCAAGTAGAGATCACAAATTGATGGCATATCAAAGATGTTTTGCGAGTGCCATCAAATTGTGATTCCCCATATATAGACCAGACTTATGTAGTGTGTACAAGAAGAAGGGAGTGTGACAGTGTCCCCTCTCTGAATCAACCAACCAATATACAAGAACTTGACAAGTTGACTAAAGCAACATCTTTATTCCTGTCACTTGTCTCAAAAAGTGGACCCGATTTTCTTTCTCACAGATTCAGATTCCGTCCGGCCTTTTTTGTTGCGCCGTTTGCGACGCTTCAATGAGCGACCCTCGAACACCTCACTCGGACATGTGTCCATTCTGGCTGCCTCCGCTCGGCACCAGTCGCCTGCGAACTGAGGTGGATCCCAACATACCAAGCAGCTGGGCTTTCTCCAGCTCTTCCACCCTCTCCGCCGTCAGCAGCGCACGCTCCGCCAGCGAGAAGAGCAGCGCCGCCGCGCGCGCGGCACGGCTGCGCTGCTCCGGCGTCGCGGCATCGGCTTCGAGGGAGAAGAGCTGCGCGAGGCCGTCAGTGGGGGTCTCCCCAGCAGCATCCTGAGAGCAGCATCGATGTGCTGGATCGGGAGATATGTCAGACAAGGATATGGCCTACAAAGATTCAAGACTTTCTACTGGATGGAGTTGTTGGAATGCAGAAAAAAATCTCCATAAAAAGGAGAGTTTCTGGGAGGCCACCGCTAAACTCAAGGCCAAACAACAACGAAGGATAAGCGTCGTATTATGTCGTATTTTTTGGCACATCGCACCAGGACGAATCGACCGCTTCACTTGAGTTGTAGGAAGTCATGGGATGAAGATGGATGAAAGAGGGTTAAATCGGTTTGGCAAGCAGAATCGCCCAAACTCTTCGAACATCTCTCGCTCGCCCCGTTCGGACCCTTGCCTGATTTTTCATTTCGATTTCGATTCGCGCTCGGTTCATGTCTGTGCGGCGCCTAGCATGAATTCTTAATTAATGGTGGCGCCTTTGCAGAAGTCGGGCCCAAGGGCCGTCGGGAGGTGGAGTTTCAACTCCTCCAGCCAGTCCCGGGCCGCAACAACTTCTCTCAAAGGACGATCTGCTACTGTCCCACCATCTAATATACAGTAAAGCGAGAAAATCGTATCTCCATTGAGAACATTGTCCCAAACAAGAATAAGTTCGTAATCCGGCTGTCAGGCAGCAGCTCACCACTGCGGACAGACACAAAATTGCCGTGGACACAAGTATTAGCCAACTTGGGCTGCAAAAGTCTGCATCTGAAAAAACAATTGCACGATTCGGATCTATCGACAGGTTTACGAAAACCTGGACCGGTCGAGCCAAAATTGCTGCCTTCTTGGACAATACAAGTTGTCCCAACCCCACAAGGCAGAGGGGGGCAAGTCCTTGACAAATCAGGCGTGTTCTTGAGACTGGCAGCAGTCACTCGTGGCTCTGGTAGGTCAATCATCAAAAAAACCGGTAGACAGGGGACAAGTCGGCTGCTGCGAACGTTCAACAGGCCCAACCAGGGCGGGACCAAAAGCCTGCCCATGCCAATCAGCACGGTTCTGCATGGTGTTCAACCACAAGAATGGGAAGTCACCCACAAGGAGATCCTCGATCATGGGCCATTGAAACCCGGTCCAGTGTACATGTGGGCAGAGGGCCATCAATGCTGCAATCACCGTTTCCTGAGAAAACATCACAGGGACAGCACGAGCAGGTCGAAGTCCGGCGGCCAGCAAAGCCATCTCCTCACCCTGCCTGTGGCGACGCCTGGGGAGTACGGTACGAGAAGTCGTAGTGGTCCAGACAAGAGCACGCAATATGTCTGCGTGGTACAACACGTTACGCGGGCAGTCACAGATCAATGCACAACCATGCAACGTCGGCAAGGCTTCAAGCAAAGGGTCCTGGTAGTGGATCCAACGTGCATACTGTAGGACGCTCTCTGATGCAGTGCGACCCATTGGGACAAGGGCCAACGATGTGAAAAGTGTCCTTGGCCAATGTAGACCTCATGCGCTTAGAGCTGCTTATGACTGGAGAGCACCTCATTGGCCACCAACCTGGAGGGAACAAAGGATGAATCCACACCCCTGCATTATCGAGACTTGCTACTGCTAGGGCATGTGGACGGATATGCACACCATCCGGAAAGCCCCATATTTCCAGCAAGACTTGAGAGACACTCAACACTTGCCAGATTGCTGCAACAGCAGCAGCTACCGAGTTCACATACCATTGAATTAAAAGACGTTCCTCTCGGAAACCTCTTGGAGGACAGAGAAGAAGCTTCTTGTAGAAAGTGTACATGGCTTTGATCATCAGCAAAAAGCAGCATAAACCAAAATGGCCAGCCACGAAGCAGGGTACCACAGTTAGGGCAGCAGCATTGGAAAACGCATCAAGAAGGAGATCTTGATATTCCTCAACCCAAATATAGGTAGCCAAAACTGACCAGCAAACTGAAGGTGAACTGAAGCTCACTCAATGTGGCCGTTTTAAACCAGGCGCCAGATGCTCCATCTAATGACACATCACTCCCGATAATGTCAAGTGTACTAGGACAAATTTTTTGAGGTTCAGACCAACAGATGGGTCAACTCCCTGATTCCTAATCTCGAGGTGTCCTAAAAGAGACCCCGAGAAAAAAGCTTCTAACAGACTCCAAGTGGCTATGTAGTGCTCAAGAAGAACACATCCATCCAGCCATAACTTGTCAGCTATGACTCCATCTGCGACAAACCGGCTGACCTGCTTGAATCCACGGACTGAGAAGCATCTCTTCGAGGAATTCTTTCTCGCTTGGATCCATGTTCGAGTGTTGACCTCATCCTCTCTACCTGAGCCAAACGTGCCGCCCTTTCTCGATCCTTCTGAGTAGTTGGCAAAGCTGCAGAGGGAGGCTTCACTTGCTGAGGAGAAAAAACTTCGGTTGCAGGCCCCACCGGGACTGCAGGTACTTCTCCCCGCTGCACCAGGTAGGCATTGAACCGCTCCGTCAAATCTGACAGTGCCCTCTTGCATGCTACAAGCTCTGTCTTTAGCTCGATGTTTTCCATGCCCAGTGCCTCTGGGCTCATACCTAAATCTCCAAGCTCTAAACGCCCGGTCTCTTTGAGCATGGTCTCCAGCTCCTGAGTAGCGGTCTCGATCTCCTTCTCCAATTATTTGACTTCCGACTCGTACACTTCTTTTTGTGCCTTGCGGTGTGCATCGAGCCGCTCTTGGAACTGCACCCGTGCTTTCTTCTTGGCGGCAAGCCGCGATTTCAACTTCTCCAGCGTCTGTGTGACCTTTTTCCTGGAGTTCAAGGACTTCTGCTCTGCCTGAATCTCTGTTGTCATAGGACCAGCCTCCAAAACCTTGGCACCATGCTCGACCAGGTAGGCTGCAACCGCCTCCTTGATCTGCTTCGAATCCACCGACGGCGTGGTAGCTGAAGAGTTAGAAATTCCACATCCCCCTCTTTCTTGCTCTTGTTCTTGTCCTTGTTGACATCCTTCTTGTCGTCTCCTTTGCCTTTTCTCGGCCATGCTCCACTCCAGTAGCCCTTTTGGCCGGAACCCTTGTATGCATTCCATCCCATCGAAGGTGATGAGTGGTGCGAGCGAGGACAAGATCTGCCAGGCCTTGTTCAGCCTGTCCCTCTTGCCCTTCGAAGCCTTGTGGGTCGGCTTGTGTTTTTCTTGTCGCAACAGCTTGCGCGCTCTAGAGCGCTTTGCTCTCGCTCTTCTGTGCCACGAAGGACCCGCAGCACGTCGTGTAGCCTTCACGGTCGCCAAGGATGGGCACCCCCACAAACAACCCAGCGATGGCCACCGCACAGCAGACACAACACGAAAAGGACGTGCGCGAACGCACTGGGGCAAAAACGCGATCGAACGCTCGTGTTCGTTTGAGCCCTACCCTTGCCTGAAACTTTAAAAAGAAAACAACGCATCCTTCTTCCCCGTTTTGCCGTGTTTTCTTCACCCATTTCATTCCTTCAGAAAACAAGACATCTCTTCTAAGAACGCGAGCTGCGCTCGCGCAGGCTCGGCTCGCTGCGCGCGAGCTCCGAAACGCGAGCGGCGCACGAGCTCCCGGCCAGGCGTCCAGGAAGTCGCATCCCGGTGGGACGAAGTACTCCGTTGCTTCCATGCCATGCGGGGCGCGCGGGTTTGGGGGAAGGGTGTTCAGCGAAGGTGTGGCTCCCCGAAGGATGAGGAAGCGAAAAACGCGAAATCTCTCTGGTCTGACGAAGGGGTGGGACCAGACCAAAAGAAAAGACCATATTTTGGGTGGTTGATGGTCCAAAATAGAGGTCATTCAGGTTCCAGGTATATATAGGTTTTTTGGGGGACTTCCTCTTCATTCAGTGGGGCAGAAGATCGTGAAACTGGACGAACCTCGGTTTTTTCGTGTCAAAACGTTGGAAAACCATGGAAAACCGCTGATGGGTGCTGCTGACAGGAGAGTTTTCAGTGACTGGCGGTGCAGTCCTGATGTCCCCTGACCCCATAACTGCCCCAAGACTGTCCCTCGAATCCGCACGGTGAGATGGTCACAAGAATCCACCCCATTTAGAGAGCAACACCCATCTTTTTCGACGCCGCATGTCACGCCGCATGTCCTCACCAGCCAGAAAAGCAAAAAAAAGAAAACATGTCTGAGAGCCGAAAAGCCTACAAAGACCGACCGGTAGCTCGGCCGCTGCCCCTTCAGATCGACTTGCTAAGGGGATTCTGTGGGGCTCTTGAGCCAGAGACACTCCCAGCCGAGGCTGCCGAGTCGTTCAAGCCAGACGTCGGAACATGGGGGAAAGGATGGGAAAAGGGAAAGCTGGACTCAGTCCGGACCATTGATATGCCTAGTGTCGAGAGGAATCCTAAGGCTAAGGGGTAAGGTTCTCAGGACCTTCAATTGGTGTCTACAAATAGTGGGGCAATAGCATTGTCGTAACCATTATCTGGGGCTTGAGATCTCCCCAGGAACCGAAACACCGCGGCCCCTCATGGCCCCTCTCTCACGCGCGACGCGCCGCGACTCGTCGACGACACCGAGCGTTGAACTGGAGGATGAAACACATTGAAACACATGTGGGTAGACTTCTCAGGTCATAATTTGTTCATACAGGGCACATTCGGTCACACACCAATGAGTTCGAAACGTTAGACGGGTGGAGAGGACGGAAGCCGAAATTTTCAGTCCTAGCTTCTGCGTACGTGGGAGTGCTCACGTGACGATGCTCTAGATGAATCACGTACTTCCCAGAAAAACAATCAAGGAATCGTTGACGTTTCACACAAAACGGGTCTTCTAGGATGAGAAGAGGGTCTCAAGGCAGCTGGAACCTTTGGTGATGAGTCAGACGCGCCATCCAGTTGATGTCCCAGTTCAAAACCCCCAAGTATCCCAAAAGCCCCCAACATTAAAACTTCTTGGAAGAAACACCTGGCAAAATCAAGGAAGATTAAAGAAAATAGTTCTCAAATCCTCAGGAAGATTCGTGGCATAAATGTTCCTCAACCTGTCCGATTCCAGACAAGAAACATATAAAACGTGCGGCAATAAATGAAAGACCTTCCGAAACTTCAGGTCTCTCTCTCGGCTGATCCCTGGACCACAACCTACACGAAAACCAGGTACAGTCCGGTCAAACCAGGTACAACGCACCGCGAACTTGGACTTGGAGCCCCCGTCCCAAAGCCATCGTCACGCGTCGCCTGACTCGACCGTGTTCGTTTTCCACCGGCGGTCACGAACGGAGCGGTTGGGTTGCGGGTCCGGTGGTCCGGTCTGGTGAGGAGTTCTTCCAAACAGAGATCGAAATAGAATGGTTCCGGAATGGTGGTCCGTCAGCCATGGATCAGATTCCATTCCGTGATGAAAGGAAAAGGGCACCCTAAAGAAAAAGGATCCCTTTTTGTTGAGAGATCTACCGTTCGCTTCCATGATGTCATCTAGGACGTGTTTCACGGACACAGCTGCTCACCAACTGCTCCTCCACTGTGTCCGTCTCACATCCTCCACTTCGCTTTGACTCCGCCTCGGCCCCCTTCCGAGCCTTGACCGGTCTCCTACCCTTCGGATCCATGTTACGGGTGTTCCCGGTGCTCGGTCCATGCGGTCCCGTCCATCGGATCCATTACGTCCATCGTCCGGAGAGGACGCGAGGCCTCCTTGCTTCGTTCGCCCGGCGTCGGACTGTAGACTCTTAGATAATATATATGTAATGGACATTTCTAAGATCTTAGATGACTAGATGACTCTTAGATGACATTTCTAAGATCTGATGATTACTCTTAGATGACTCTTAGATGAGACTACATGACATTTCTCTTAGATGGATGTAATCCCCAACAAAAGCCTGAAGAGTTGTGACCATCATCTAGGGCAGCGTCGCCATATGCGTTGTGACCATCATGCTGCCGTTTAACTCGTTCGGGTGCGAGACGGCTCGAGGTGCGTTTGCATTTTGAGCCAGTCCGATAAAAAGGGGTGATGGGAAAAGGAAGAACAGAACACAAAAGCGTCTGATGAGAAGGCATTTGTAAAAATCAGCCATGATGTTCCACTAAGTCCTTTTGTGACTGGACGGTAGTATATTCATATCCAAAAGTAATCATTCCTAGAGCTCAAAGATTCACCTCTCTTGAAAAATGCAAGTGGAACCATCTTCGGGGAGGAGAATGGGTGATCCAACAAAGAGGGAGAATTTGCTTCAGATCACTCAGGTTCTTCACATCATGTGTGTTAGACTTCCCATCTTCGGCACTCGTTTCGCACGCGGCACAGCTCTTTGGCACCGAAGAGAGGTTGGGAATGGACTTCTCCGACCCCACCGCGGTTCTCGGGCGTTGCAATTGGAACGGGGGCTTCGACATCGGACGGGCCGATTGGCTGTGATGATGGCTGAAAAGATCCACGTGCAGGGCAGGTCCGATTGGGCGGGTTGGGTTTATCCTCCCACCCATACCCACCCACACCCACCTTGCTGGAACCCCGCGAACCTCGAGCGCGAGCGACGTGACGGTGAGTTCGGCACTGCAGCAGGTGACCAGGTCATGACTGTCAAGGGAACTGAAGCCGTGGTGGACTCAAAATCTGTGTGTTTGAAGTTAGTTCTTAGGTCCTCGCTTCAGACATCTTGGGTTGATGCGCAGCAAGTCTTCTTGCTTCTGCATCCGCGCCAGGGATTTGTATTTCAAAGAAAAACCGGACAGGTCGCCCACGGTTCGACCTGCTGGGGTCCTTCCCAACCCTCAACTAAAGGCCTGGCAGTGCCTGGCAGTGCCTGGCAGTGAGGATACTGCTATACATATACCTAGAACCTTGTTGGGGAGCCAAAAAGGACATGGTCTATAGGTATACAGTATATACTATAGGTGATCATTTTCTTTGAGACGGCCTGGTGCACATCGTTTACACCGCCTGCCGCCTGCCTTGAATTGACGGCTCCCTGATTGAGAAAACCGCACATGCCCCTTCAACGAACAAACTCAACTCCCCGATGTTCAAGTTCTTCTTCATGGATATGTGACCGGTAAACTGACGCCACGAGCAGCCAGATGAACAGGCCAACAGGCCAGTTTTATACCTACCAGCGGATTCGGCCGATCGGCACACGGAACCTTGCTTCACTGGTTTGTGGGTCAAAAGCAAGATACCTTGCTTGACCTACCTGAAAGGTCCTGACCCGCGGCAAATGGTGGACGACCAGTCGGGCTCCAGGTATGGACCCGCAGCAGCTCTCCATCTGCCACCACTGCCACCACTCAGGCAGCGACACGTTGATCGGCCATGCCACAGGCCATGCCAGTTGCGGAGATTTTTGGTACACAAAGTTCGGCGTTCGGTGGGCCCCAAAATCAATCAGTCATATTTCCCTCAGAAGAGCCAGTTGGAATCCGTCTTTATCTCTTTGAAGACCACCACTGTCAGGCTGAGCAAAGGTGACATCACCAATTACTGTATACTGACTCGTTCAGCGACCTGTAACAAGGAAGTACCGTATTCTTATGTATTCTTACTGAACCCTCTGATGCCTCAACAAAAAGGATGTCTTTTCACGAAGTGAAACGAAGGAGTTCAGATTGATTCAACATGATTCAACTCGATAAGCCAGAGTGTGTCCGCGATCCGCGTGGAGTCCGATCCGTGATGGACTGCGGTTCTCACCATGCCTCGTGGAGGATCCGGAGAGAGAGAGAGAGAGTCCAAGCATCCACCTACCCCAGGTTCTTAGGTGGCCACACATTCTGAGAGGAAAGTTCACTCAATCCGATGCCAGTCTTGGAAGGTGTGTCCCTTTCGGTCTTGGAAGGTGGTAAGTTGTGTGTATATATATATATATTCTACACCATATATGTTTGTCGTATATGTATATAACAATTCTATATATATATATATACAGTGTACAGTATATATGGAACCCATTTGACCTCTATGTTGATAAGAAAACAGCTTATTTGGGGTGGTTGGTGGTCCAAAATGGATGTCATTCAGGTTCCAGGTATATATACAGTACTAGCCCAAAGAAAATATAACAACATATTGGCTCATAAGGCCGTTTGAACTCGGCCATCGACAAACATACAGTAGACAATAGTAGACATATCTTTAAAGAAGCCACCAGCTTTACTTGGAGGGCCATTACGGGTAAGAGACATGACTTCAACAGAAAGGCCAGCAAGCGTTTTCCTTCGAAGAGACCTCGCGGAAGCTTCGGCCTTCTTGGAAGGCAGAAGCCGTTAGGCGTCCAACGGATGGAGAGCTATGTACACATCGTGAAACTTTGCTGCTTGCTAGTTGGCCGCTCGATTTCAGCTTCGCTGTGGTCTCCGAGCGATGGAAAGCTTGGTGTCTTTTTGTCCATCTTGAATTTTTTTCGCATGCCTGGCAATGCGTTCCTTTGTTTCTATCGCTCTTTCACCTGTCGTCGTCCACCGCGCAAGCGCGCGACCGTCACCGTGGGACGCGCCGGAGGCCACGGTAGTACCTGGTAGGACCGCAGGACCGGTCCAGGTGAACCGAACCGGGTCACCGATCGAAGGGTGACGGTGAACGATGAACTGGCGAACGGGGGTGGATTGGTGGGGAGAAATAAGAACATGTGTGGTGGAGATATAGAGATGCGTTTTGGCAAGCTGTTTTTTTTTTGTGTTTGTATGTTTTTCGCTAGCACATGCTGCGATTTGCACATTCTTTGATCATTTGCACGGCTGCATGCTGCCAGTTCTCCTGCCAGGGCACTCTTCAAAGGGACAAGAGGTCGCGCCACTGATGTTGAAGTACCTGAGGCGAAAAGCACAATTTCACCTGAGTTCGGTGAGTTTCTTCTGTAGATCCTCACGTGCGGTACCGCAAAAATCCTGCCCCATAGTAGTTTAGCACTTGATCATGAGAAATAGGCAAACGCTGCAGGCAAATCTACTCTCCCTGCAAAGAAAAAGACCTGGAAGTGGACTGAAGTGGCCCCACTGGCCCCAAACGAAATCAGAACCGACGAACTCCGCGAACCCAACTCTATTCCTGACCTCACGTACCCAGCGTGTGCTCGGCATCCCAGATTCTCACTACAAACATTTCCTCCCACTTTGCAGGGAGACCATCTACTTTTCCCCCCACCAAGATCATCGCGGGGATAGGTCCTCGGTCGGCCACCACCGCTTTAGAGGTCGACCGCGCGAGCCGGTCCCGGTCCCGGTCGGGCACCGGTCAAAGAAGAGCACAAACTCCTCGAAGGACAAGAAGTTGTTCCGGTCCCGATCCGCTTCCAGCCAGAACCTCCACGTGCCATGCTGGCGCAAGCGCCGTGCGGGGGGTGCGGTGCGGCCCCGGCACGGTGGGCAGGTGATTTCACAGCTCCACCGCTGAGGAAGCATTGCGGTTCGATGGGATCGAATTCGAACCAGGAACAAACACCAATTCGCCTATCTGAGCTCCAGCTACACTCCCCCGAAACTCACATAGCAACAAACCTTGAAGGAAAAACATCTTCCAGCCATCCCTTCCGCGCGCGCGATCAAGCCGCCACCAGGCGCCCAGGCTGGTTCACGCGGCTTCGAGGAAGCTCCACATGAGCAGGCACCTGCAAACAAATCTGCCCAGGCGCGACCCTAGACCCTCCGTTCCATAGGGGCTGTACCCTCATTTGGAGGGGTCCGGAGCCTCAAATTTTATTGTGGCTTTCAGGGACCAGGGCCTGTTTGGCGCTTTAAGGAAGAAATGCTAGACCTAGGAAGAAGCCACCATTTTTGCATGGACAAGTGGATGAAAGTCCCTCTTTTGTTCGGGGGTTCCTTGCTTTTAAGGCATCATTGTTTGAAAACGAAGCGCCATAGTCATATTCTTAGGATCCCAAATGGACCAGAAGATCTTCCGAGTCATTTCTCTGGGGCCTACAGGGTGGATCTTCCATCAAAAAAGCACCCAAAGACTGTGGAAAAAAACGAGGTCCTCGCCATCCTCGCCACCTGTGACCCAAAATCGATCCGCTTTCTTGAAGCGCTCACATTCCACACAGCCTAGCCGCTTCTTGCGCCCATATCATCGATCCGCTTGCGCCCTCCCAAGCTTAAGGCCTTAATCAAAGAGTTCAGAAGCTTCGTGAACTCTTGGTAATCGATCTGCCCGCTCTGGTCCTGCCACGAACGCCCCACATGTTGGTCGTGACGAACGAAGCTCACGGCTTGGTCCCGATCGTCGGTCCGTCGGTAGCATGGTAGCATGGCATGGGTTGAAATGGTCCTTTTGCTACCTATCCGCTGTTTGTTTCCTCTGTTTGCTCCTGTTTCATCTCGTCACCCGTTTGTAATAACCAACAGTCAAGAGTCAACATGAAAGGAAGTGGGGGAAAAACTGATAAGAAAGGAGCAAAAAGGAAGAGCTGCAACCCAAAAATGCTCCCCAAAAACAGGACAAAACCCCGAGTTGAGAAGTTTTCGTGCTGCTGCACCTCCTGTGGGTCAGGTGTGCGGTTGCTGTTGTCGCTTCGAATCTCAAAAGGACGAGTCGAAGCGACCAGACCTGCCTTCAAAACAAAGGCCATGCTTCAAAACAATGGCAGACTGGTGAAACTCTGAGCGAAGTTCTGTGCCCCAGAACTATGAGTGGTGAATTATGAGGTGTAATTCACAGCGACGGCCCAGGGACCCATTGACCCACGGACCCATGTGTCGCATATCACAGGGACCCGCATCAAACCGTGCTGCGCGCCTCATCGAAGAAGTCGAACTTCTTCTTGTACTGCTCCACCTCCGATGGTGTGGGCATGCGCTGATGGTGTGGGCAACGCTGATGCCACAAGGCGCCCCCCAGCAGGGCCACAGGGCCACTGTACTCCTGGTCCATGACTGTCTTTTTTGCTTGTGGATCCAACAGCTCAGCTCACAGTCCTGTGGCCAGCACCCCTTTTGATTGGACCACTTGTAGTAGAACCTATACTGCTATTGGCATTATGGCATCCGCCATGCAATGCAGGAAAGACTTCTCTCAGATAAACACGAGGCTCTTGCCAAGGATTGTTTGATGCAGACATCCCAAAGTCAACTTCCTAATTCTGCCCTTCCATATCCAACACATCAAGTGGATACTGTACAAAATCGGGCTACATCCTATCAGCACCGGCCACACCATTAGATCAAATGTTGTTCACGTCCATGGCGCTGTCATTCTTTGCTTTGGGTCCCTGGATCCTACTGGCACTCACTGGCCACTCCATGGCACTCTCATACCAAGGGCCCCCTATACCAGGACACCCTAAGGGGCGTCTATTGATAGCCCCTTAGAGGTTAAGGGGTGTCCATTAACCACCCCTTGTGGGTCCTAGTATAGGAGATGCTTGTTTTAACACCCCTTAACCTCATTGAACCTCTGCAGAAACGGTGCTGTCTTTGACGCCCCAATCATGGATCTGCCGAAGCGAAAAAGGTCGCCGTTTTGCGAGACCGGCGGTCGTTTTTTTCGGAGGAGACGAGTCTGCACGGAGGAGAGGAGGAAAGGACGTTTGGGGTCGGAAACGAGTTCAACACATCTTCCCCCTGTTGAGCTGCTAAGTGTTGGAGATCGCCGAACCATCCTCCTCTCCCCCGGTCCGCGGGTGCTTCGCACGGCGTGGACCTCGAGCACCGGCAGATCGTGCTTCCGGGCCTCGGACACCAGCGACGTGAGCGTCCCCCCCATTGATCCAACGTTTGAGGTTTTATGTTAACTGGGTCAGACTGGACCTGGGTCAGACTGGACAGGTTCCAAAACGTTTCTCACACAATTGCTCCTTTGGGTTGCGTCATGATAGTTCTCATGCTAAAGAGCAATGCTCTTTATATATATATATATATATATATAATATATAGCTTGCTTGAGCTACAAAAGTTAGGAGGCTTGATCTTCCCACAACGCCCACGCTGACCCTCCAACAGGCTGCAAGTCCAGAAAACACCCGAGGGTTCAAATGTCCAAGGTCGCTTTGGTCGTGGAATTCTTTTCGAAAAGACAAGTTCTATTTTGAAAAAAAAAACTTTGCCTTTTCTCGTTGCAGTGTAGATGGAGCAGGTGTTTCGAGCAGCTTGGCAGTGGAGATATGTAGGCCTACAGGTACATCCACTTTGAAGGGCAAGCTTGGAGGTCATAGAAGTTGATTCACCGTCATTTCCTGGCTTTTTAGAGCCTGCATGCTTTGGCCAAGAAGTGTTTGGCCTTGTCCTTCAACACCCACAACAGTCACCAGCAGCAGAAGCGGCACCACCAACTCCACTCCACTTCAGAACCTCACCGCCGTCTCCCAAAAGTGCAGACCAACAACCCAAGACCAACTGTAGATATATTATATATATATATATCGCCATCACCAGCATGAAACAACAACAATCACGGTCTTCCAACACCCCATGAACCATCACTCCATCCCGGCCGGTTCCGGCTGTGTCCGTTCTCCGTTTCGCGCACCACTTCATGCACCGCCAGCTGTGCCGAGGTCATCAAGAGGTGTTGCTCAGTGGATCCATCGCGCGACCTGTGCAGTGCGTGGTTTCGGTCTTGGATCGATCCCCACGTTGCCCTGTGTTCAACCATCGAGGGATGCCATTCTTTTGATATATGCAAATTGGGAACCCCCAGCCTCAAATTCTATAGAACCAAGATCTTAGAATAAATTTATGGTGAGTGTGCCGTGAAAGAAATTCCGAGCCACTCTGAGACCAACCCTTGCAGCTTGCAACTGGCAGGGGTTGCTGAGTAAGTCCCCAGAAGGAGGAGTCAAAAAAATCAACCTACTAGGGATGGCCTCCACTCTAGTAGCGATGGCCTCCGGACTAATAGCAATGGCCTCCAACCTACTATATAGTGATGGCCTCCAATCTCATAGCGATGGGCTCCAAGTGCAGTTGCTGGAAAAATGATATCCAAGTGCTTTGCTTCACTGGGCCTTGCCCCAAGTCGAACCTTGCCGGTCACCTGAGTCTCTGAGCCTCTCCATGCTACGTCCCCGAGGTGCTCCATCCCTCCGGCTTCCAAGCAGCCATACTCCAGCACGCATGGCTAAGTCAGTTCAGGTCGCGAGGTCCGAGGGTCGGCACCTCGAATACCACATGGCAAAGTCCAAGAACGCCAGCGACTTGGTCGCGCCAGCGACCTGGAAGAGTCTCGCTTCTTCAGCGAATCCCGCCCTTCGGACTGGTCCCAGTTCGTCCCAATGGACTGGTCGTGTTCGTCCAATGGACTGTTCGTCCGGTCTGGTCCTGCGATGGTTTGGGAGGGGGACCGAGTCCCAACGGGACGAAAACACACAGCACGACCCGTCGTTTTGGGAGTCCAATAGTACCCACGACCGCGACTCCGGTCTCTCCGGTGACAGGGGGTCGGGTCCGGGTGGGGTCGCCGAGGTCAACACGGGGGCCTACAGGTCCGGACGGGTGTTGAGACGGCCTACGTGTGGGCTTCGATCGGGTGAGAGGTATTTTAAAGAAGGTATTTAAAGAAAGGAACACCAAACTCACATCATTCACACCACCCAAAGTTACAAAAATCGAACAGTTCAGTCCCCATTCATTTGGGTTCTTTTTGTGTGCTTCAGCAAAATTGGGACACGGATCCCTTGGGTGGGAAGCCCACTCTCCAAGGATCGAAAACAAACACTCCCTGCGGAGCTCCCGGCGGAGGCAGAGCCGCAGAGTCCGTTTTCAGACTCCGTTTTCTGAGTCTGCTTTGGGGTGTCAGTGTGGACACGACCGGTGTCACACAGATTGGATGCAGCAAAAGCCGTTACTAATCTTCTCTGATTGGTGGTTTCAACTCACGAACCAAAAATATGAGTCAGCGGGTTCAGTGGGTGCAATCATCCCAGGTCGTGAAGGTTTTGCAAGAAAATCTCTGAAACAACAACCAACGAGATTCTGGAGTGTACACCAAAATCCTCTTCCACACCCTCCACACCGCCCTTGCGCCGGGCGCTCTCCTCCTAAACTGCCCCATATACCGCGTTGGAACCCCAAAAAAAAGGGGCCCCGCACTGCGTCTCGGAAGCTACGTTGGACCAACCTGAGCGGAGCGGCTGCAGAAACCGCGGATTTGGGACACCCCACACGCGGCACGGGCTCCCGCACGGTGCTCTGCAATCGATAGGAGATGTGAGTGCGACAATGAAAAGTAGAAACACGCGTTTTCTGCCGAGTTCAACGAAAAACTTGGGGGATGGAAATTGGATGTGTGTGTGTGTCCTTTTTGCAGAGTTCAAAAAACTGCTTGGTAATTCCAAGAGTATACTGAGATTTCGGATGTGGTTTGGATCAACCCGGACAAGAGTATTGGATCTTCATCCATTCCAAAGGCATTACACAAAAGCATACCAGGAGTCAATGAGGTACGCAACCCAAACCTGGAAATCTTATTTATTTCCATCATTTTCCATCAAGCTACGCCCAAATGAGATCGGACATTTCGTCCGAACTTCATGCCCTCAGGCTAGAAACTAGCAGACCCCACAATTGATACACTCCCTGAAACAATCATGGAAGTGGATGTCATGGCCCCTTGGATGACCATTTTTTCCTCTACAAACAGGTGGTGTCATCCACGGCACAATGATGATTTCGGAGTATCAATCCAAGCGAGTTGCTGGGCTCGAAAGAACAAAGTGCAAAGCAGCCCCAAGTTGAAGACGAGCTTCACCAAATCAAACCAGAAGTTTGGCCATGTCCATGTTTCTCCTTCGTCTGTGTGTGCGCCGATCTTTCCCCAGCCTCCAGAAAACCGCTTTCAGAGCCTAGCTCTGCCAGCTAGCTCCATTGCCGTGTTTTCACTCCGACCTCGAGGGTCACCGCTTCGTTCCTCCCCGACTTCGTTCGGTCGACTCATCGCGATCGACCGCTTCGGGGACCATGTTCTGAGTGGCGAAAGGGCACGGTGAACTGCCAACGACGGCGACCGACCGGTCGCCACACGTGAAAGACCGGCACCGAGGGGCGCACCGCACGGCCGCGGTGCGTTTCGGTCTGTTCGAACCCACCGGGTGAACAGGTTGCTGTTTGGAGGTGCAAGTTGCGTGTTCACTCCGGTTTCCTGGTTGCGTGTTCACCTTTTTGGTGTCCAACGGTGAGTCGGGCCCACCACTGCTTGGCTCCGCGGCCCATCGGGCAGTTCGCTCGGCAGGCTGCAACCTGACGGCACGGTGCGGATTCGGTCGGTTCGCAACCTGACGGCTCCGTCCCACGTAGACGTTCTCGGATCCTCCAATCACCAAGAAGCGGCGGACTTCATGAACTCTGCTATTTAGGTCTCCAGGATTTGTGAAGAAGAAACTCAGATGGAGAGTGCCACTCGATGGCGTCAGGGACCCCGTGGTGGGAAGCATAGCGGACCACCGTTCAAACGACCGGTATCTGAAGCACCTTCCTGCCATGCTGGTAGATTCTCTGAACGTTGGCGGGAAGCAAAGGGTTTTCACTTGAGAAAACCTCACAGCGCGAAAGATTCTGTCAGACTGATCGTGCATAGACTTTTGATTGTATTCAACCCCCGATACGAACCAAGTGTTACAATCCAAATGCAGGGAGGTTATCAATCGAGAGCACGTGACCGGCTCATGTTGAAGCTGCACTTCAAGTCGTCGCTTGCATTCACGCGCGCGCTGTTTGCAAAGCGCCAAAAAAACCAAGCCAGCTGTTCCCCCAGCTGTTCGCCCAGCGCCGTTCGCGAGCCTACCAGCTTGCAAATGATCTTCGCAAAGCCATCAATGTTCACCTCGCCATCCTCGACCGCTCAAGCGCCAAGGCCCAACGACCGCAGAGCTTGACCGGTAAAGGCCCAACGACGCACACACGCACAGTGATACAGCCAGGTTCTTCGTCAAAGGGAGGTCCTTGGTCCTTGTCCTAGCCAGGTGCATCTTCGAACTGTCTTTGGCAAACCCTCTGCAGCCACCGAAATCTACCTTTCATTCATGTATCACGGGGAAGCCTGGATTGTTGGACCTAAAGATATCAACTTGTACATGAACATTGGAACACCTGAGTGTTTGAAGTAGGCCCTACCAGATTGCTCGGGAGACGACGGAGACGATTCGGTGAGACAGATCCAGCACCCATTCGGGACTCCGTCAGACCAAGACATCCAGTCTGGACTGCATGAGCACGAGATCTCACAGAGCGGGTTGCGCGAGATCGAGCGGGTTCGCTTCGAACTCCCTTCACCTGCTCGATCACTCCAGTGCTTCACTCCCGCCTTGAAGACGTCGATGCCATCGTCGAGGATCTCGCCCTTCTTGCCGGTCCTGGATGCCACGCTTGGTCACACGAGGTCCCAACATCGTGGTGACTCCAGCATGTTCGCGCGGCGTGGCGTGGGAGGGGGATCCCAACGAGAGTTGCGCAACGAAGGCATCACCCAGGGGTAGTGTGTAGAATCAGCAAATTGACCCTCTCAAAAGAACAGCTCCGCAGAACAGACCTGCAAAAACAAACCCACTTCAGTGGAATTACAAAACCAGTGCATCTCAGCATACCAAAAATGCAAATGATGCAATAAATAGCCCAGGCATTACTTGCACCACTCCAGCTGCATACACGGCTCCTTTTCGTCTCTAAAAAGGCCTTCAAGGTTCAAGGTTCCCCGCCAACATTCGTGTCAGAGAAAGCTGGAAGTCAAGATGGTAACTAAGCTTCAACAAACCTATCTGTGAGATGCTGTATGGATTCTATTGTCACCAAAGCTAGGGATCAAACAAGAGCCGTCTCACGACACGACTCTTGCAATCTTTTGCGAATTCTCAACTCTCCATGAGCCTGTTTTGGAGTGTTACTCAACCTTTCTGGCATCACTTAGTCATGTCATCACATCGTCCGACCACCCCAGCTGCTACTCGAGACCCAGCTCCTCCGACCCCGTACAGCCATCGGATGGTCCAGCCTCACCGCTTCAACAGATCGAGTGGAGGGATGCGTTGCGCAACGGTTTTGGTGTTCCGGAGGAGGGTTTGAGTCCAGCTGAGAAGGGAGTGATGCACCCCCCCTTCCCACCCCCACACACCTTTTTGTGTGGTACTCGGTTTTTGGGGGTGTTTGGGTCTGACTCTTTGGCTTTGACGTCTTCTGGAGGCTGCAGCGGCTGCAGCCAGAAGAACTTCAGTACTTGTGTTCTTCTCTCGAACTTCGATTCAACGGAGAAGACACGAACACAAACCAATCATCTTCCATCCCATGCCAGCTATATAGACAAGTCGACCAGTCCATAAATGATGTAACCACAAGACTGGCAGCCATGACAGCCCTTCTTCAGCTGCTCGGCATTCACACCGAGCGGCATGAGGTGAAGTCGGGTTGTATCCAAAAATGGGTATGATCATGATCAACCGCTTTGCTGGTTGATGTAATTATATACCTGAGATGATTAGTACACCAAAACAGATCTGACAAGTACAGTTTAGTTTTTCACTCCTTGGTACTTCCTCCCATTGGGAATCTTGCTCAGCTCGCGACTCGAGGGGTGCTTCGTGTGGTTTTTGGATGTGTTGTTTTTGTGGGTTTGATCTTGAACTTCTTAGCTGGAACCCGGAAGGTCCTGACAGTACAAAAGAGTCCTGAATGACCAATATGTGCCAAGGATGGCGTGAAACCTGCTCACCCAAGAAGAATGAAAAGTCGTACCGTGGTTCCCAAAATCAATCGCCAGGACCCCAACTTTCCACGTCCACAGGTGTTCTGAATTTTTTCCGCACCTTCAAATGGAGGGTTGTCATGTCTTGCAAAATAGGTCAGCAACGCAACCTTCTCCAGACATGAAGAGAGATTGAGATGAAACGCATGTTGTTTTTTTGTGTAGACAAATCTGCGATGTGGAAAGTTCATCCCAGATTGAGAGGAGAAGCCAATCCACAATCCGATTTCCAACCGTTCAACGGAAAAGAAAAGCACTAGACTGACGTGGACTCAGTGGACAAGTCCATCAGTCCCGTCTGCCGTATTTCCGTCCTGGCGGGCGAACGTCGATCATAGTTCGGTCGTGTGACGTAGTGCAGATCTCCGTGAAGGCCTCATAGGCTTGCTTCCTGGCAGAAACCGCTGGAACTGGACTCCAACGTAGGCGTGGTGCCAGTTTAACTGGTCTTGAGGTAGATTGGGGTGCAAACATTGGGGTGTGGATGAGCCAAAAGGATGTTCTTTTTTCCAAAGTTTGTCATGTTCCCCATTCCATCCCTGCACCCTCCTAAAGCAAAAGACTCTGTAGACTACGCGAATCAATCTATATACTTCTGACATCCTGGTGATGTGGATGGGAAAATGGCCCCCGAATTCCAATGACCATGAAAATCCAAAAAAGAAAGAAGAAGAAAACACCAAAGACCGGCGGGTTTTTCGCTCCCTCCCACCTCCACTTTCGACTGGACCTTTTTGACAGGACCTTTCAATCTTTCGCTCCTATGCGGTGCCTTCTCACTGACCACCACGCAGGTTACCGCGCGCGCCCCCGGCGGTACAGCGCGCGGCACGGCGGAAGCGCTTCGGTCCCAACATGCCGGTGTCCGCAGGATGTCCCCAGGAATCCTCGCCCGTTGGGACCGGTGGGAGGACCGGGGGGGGTCGGACGGGTCGGACGGGTGGTTCAGAGGAATTCCTGGAAGGATGAAGTTGAATTGGCTGAATGAAAGAATTCACCAGAATGAAAGGACCTAGGTTCTGATAAGTTCTGATAAGTTCTCCTTGAGGAGAGTTGATGAACAGACTTGCAGTCATATAATCCTTTGCCCTAAAAATGTCAGGATCACCAAGCACAAATCCATCGCCGCGACCGCCGCAAACCACGGCCGCTCCTGAGTTGTTTCGCCAGGCTGTTAAGGCGATCTGGCACCTCATCCTCGAAGTGATGCACCTGGCCAACCGAAGAATTTGTTCGAAACCACCGCACCACTTGGGAAAACCCCGGTAGCAACAGGTCGTTCTTGGGCTCGGCCGCAAGCTGCAAGCTGCTCGTATGCTGCGTTTCTCGCATAGGTCGATGGGAAGGAGTGGCACCAAAACAGCAGCAGGTGTTGGAGGTCGGATGAAGGAGCAAGCCCAGTCGGCACCGAGCTGCTCTTCCCTCACTGGACCCGTCGTGCCGGCCGTGGCCGGATCAGCATTGGGTGCCACAGGGCAGAGACAGATGGGCTCCACTCATGGACCTGAGGCTGAGAGGAATGGGCTCCGCATGGGCCCCTTACCGGGATTGAGTATACAGTCAGACGATGTCCGCCGACCTAGCCTCCTAGCCTACGCCGGCAGAAGAAGCAGGCGGAGACTTCGCAAACCAGTCCTTGCCGCATCTGCAGCCCTGACCTCCGGGTTAGAGACTTCTGGCGCCAAAGGTGGAGCTGCTCCAAACCAGATGCTGAAGAAAGCACTATAGATACTATCTGTGACTTAGGCTGCAAGTGACTTGCTGATCATTCATCCCTCAAAGACTGACCGAAATTCACTTCTTTCTGGTGAACTAGACTGAAGGCCTACCCTCAACATGTCTCACTGGCTCACACCTGCGCCTGCGGATACCTGCGGATGCCCAAAACCGTAGTGCATATAAAAATACTGATTTCGTCGCCGCCGAGGTTATCATTTAAAGACCTTCAAGGATTTCTTTCAAGTGCAAAAAGACAGGGTTTGTCTTTCAACCTCTCATGTTCATATTGGTGAGAGCCTCAAAACCAAACATCGCACTTGCCCCCAAGGTGACCGGGATCATGTGCTCACATATGTCACAGTAAAGCCCATCCGATCTGTTCACATTCTACCTCATCGTCTGAAGCCTCAGCTCACCGAAAAAAGATTTGAAGCTGAAGGTCGGACCGGCCTTCCCACCTCTCGACATCCAATCTTCTACCCATCGCTGCGGGTCTCGCTTCGTCTGGACTCACTGCTCGCTTCGTCGTTCACTCCGAATCCAATGCGCCGACCGAGGTGGGGTCGGCGGACAGGAACACGTCGGCTCGGGGTAGTCGAGAGAGTGATTTCCAGAGCAAACAGATGCAGGAAGTCATGATGTCATTTCAGCAAAATGCGAGACAGAAGAAACCTGAGCCCCGGCTCTCAGGAAGACATCAAAACAAATGAAAAATAACATCCGTTTGAGCACAAGTTTGAGTCGACACCAAAGCAAGTGTGGCTCTGTCAAAGCAAGTGCATATGAAGCCCTACGGCCCTACGGTGTAAAGCACGTCCCGCGGGCTGGCTCTGCAAATGGAGGGCTGGCTCGTTGTGGGTGTTCCCACCCGCTCTGACCTCCCAGTTCGACCCCCTGTAAGAAGGAAAATAGAACAGAACACATTGGTTGGGGGTCTCCATATTTCAATACACACTGCTCAGAACACTGAAGCAACCACACAGCCGCTCGTATGTGTGGGCCTCGGGCATTGCAAGCGTGAGACCTGGCAGGGGAGTAGTGGATCATCACACCACTCAAGGCACGAACCAAGATCCCCCTGTGAGTTGCCCAGGATAGGTTTTGCTAAGCATTGTGTAATTGAAACATATTAGAACATGCAGGATGAAAAAAGAAACTGTCATCCAGGGTATCTTGGCTTCATAGCTTCATTGCTGCACCACGTTTTTGGTCGAAACGGGTGCAAGCGTTCACATCAGGCCACGCTTGCGGCCGCCTTGGTTGGGCCCCTCTTCACACCTGCCACCATCAAACTGCCACACCGGAACTCCGGTGGACCCGGGATGCCAACCTGTCCCAGATTCCTGGGATGTCGTTTCGACACGTCGACACGTCGATGTGATGACTCACGCAGGTTCGTCCTTCATGTTTCACCTCATTGAGGTATGATCAACCAGTTTGGGGTATGATCAACGGGGTATGAAGAGGAGGTCGTTGTGAGCTTCTAATCGGGTGTTAGCTGCTAGGTGGATACTGCAGATCAGCTTTCTGGCGGATCATTCCAATGAACACCCCAATCGCATCGTCGGCGCCCGAGACGGCGCGGTGGGTCCGAAGCGAAGCGCTGCCTCCCAGATCCACGCCCTTGAGCGCCTGGCGGATGGCGGATCCACAATGAGATGCAACTACGTGGAACAAAAATACCCGAATGAAGACCAAGATCTATTCCGAACGACGAAGGGGTCACCGAGTGAGACCCTTTTCACTGGCTCACGGGGTCCCCCTCAAAGGCCTTGAGAAACGACCGATGGACCTCACTGCAAGGGCATCGCTAGTAACATGTGCATTACTAGTAGTAGCAACTTCTAGCTACTAGTGACTTCTAGCTACTAGCTACTAGTGCCCTTGTAATTGGACCACCAATCATGAGAAGCGTTGAAGCTCGCGGGCCAAGCGAGCGGGCCAAGCGGGCGCCCAGCAGGGTGGCTTGCGTTTGAAAACGATCCCTGCAGGTCAAGGGTCCAAGAAAAGGTGGAAGAAGAATTGCGAACCCTCCAGAAACGACCGATTCTCAAAGGGCCAAAACACATGAAGCGAACGTGAAGTTTGTCTCACAGAAAACATCGGAAAAGGACTGTCCACCTCTCGCGCGAGAGATCTTTCATGATCGTTCCTTCCTATCAAAAGCCCAGTGGTCTTGGGGACCTCCTCCCAACTTGGTACTTGGCACTCCCGACTCTGAGAATGGCACCTTGAAAGATGGTTTTCCTCTAGCTGTAGCTGGACCAGTGGTTCAAACGGGTCCAGGTTCGTCAGACCAGCAGGGTTTGGGCGTCAGGAAGTGCGTGAGAACATGGGAACATCCCCAGATTCCCGCGCGAAGCATGCCACTTCGCCCCCCAACCTCCCAACTGCCTGTCGCGTCGATTGCGAGGAGAGTGGCAGGTCGAGCCCTGTGCCTGTACGAGCCTGGGGGGCTGTGAGAGCTGTGTAGGGTCCCATGACTTCGCGCATGGTACACGCTGCCCAAAGCCACCCTGTTCGGACAGGAACGTCGCCTTCCTTTCGGGGCCCGTCTTTCTTTCACGTCGCCGTCAGAATTGTGTGTTCGTCAGAGTGGCTCATGTCGTTGCTACTGTCATGGTTTCTTGGCAACACTGAGAGAGAAAGAGAGACAGGGCTTTTGTGGAAGCCTAATGTTGAAAGAAATGCTGATGATGCCGCCCAACTTTCCCTTGGCATCATTCGCATGACGTAACAATGATCAAATATAATGTCCCTGTTTCTTGACGTCGTCGATTCTGTTCCAAGGCGTGCAGGCTGGTAAAAACTGTTGAATGCCGATGCCGAGATGCCGACGAGACATAACTAGACCATGTGAGTCGTACGCCCCCCACCCACCATTGGAGAGGAACCCCGAGGTTCGAGCCTGTCGTGGTGCTTTGGCATCCGACTGGCACGGCAGAGGGGGTAGGCTGGTAGGTACCGACCATGCTTGAAGCGCGCTTTTCGGGCTTTCGTGTGGGAAGGCCCACGTGCGGTCCAGAAATGACGCCGATTCTGTTCCCAAAAATCTGCCCGAAAGACCACAGCCTTTCTTCAACCAGGTTCCACAGGACGACCCGACCCCCCGCCACCCACCCCGGACCCCGCCACCCGCGGCCGTCATGCCACGTGACCAGTTCCTAAGGTCAGTGACCGTGACCGTGACCGAACTTGCAGGCCACCAACTCATCAAGTTCGGTCCACCAACTCATCACACTTCTAAACGAGCTCATCACACACAAGGTCTGTCCCAGATGTAGGATCCAAGCAGAAAAAAACCAACCGCCCATTGATCAAGTTGGTTGACTCAGGAACCTGCGCAAAACACGGAAACTGCCGGTATCACATGCCAGGGTCCCAAACTAACTAGCGACTAGTTGGTTATGGCTTCATCTGCTTAGAGCTCCTCAAGCTTCCAAACAGCTCAAAATCCTCCGAAACGTTCTTCGGATCGGAGATGTTCTTCTAAAGTTGTCCAGTGCAGTCAGACATATCTCCTGCAAACTCCAGGCGTCCACCCTCCGGCTTCCTTTTGTCCCTCCGAAGCCACAAGCCACACTCCCCTGAGGTCACCTTGAAGATGTCAGGCTCTCCCGCCTCAGCGAAGGGACAAAGGGACCCAGCTTCGGACAGCTTCAGCTGGGAAGAAGTGAGCAGAGTTGGAAAGAGTGGATGCCAAGTAAAAAGGTAAATTCATCCCACCAAAGAAGCACCATTTGTGGATGAAGAGTCACACAGCCCTTAGCCCTTCCAGGTCCAGAAGATCTGCGGTACAGGGATTTTCACCCACCCAAAGCTTTTGGAAGCGCAGTGGGATGTCTAAACTGTGGGATGCCTGCAGTGATTGGCCAAGAGCTGCCCAAGCCCCTCTCTTGATGTCAAGTCGGACCAAATAGCCCAAAGAGTTGGACTCTGTGTTCTCCACAGGTGCCTTTCAGCTCTTGTGTTTTCTTCTTGGTGTTTTTTCGTCGTCCAAGCCATCAAATCCAACGAATCCATCAACTGAAAAACCCTCGGTTTCCCTCCTCTCGGTCCTCCTTCGCACCGATGTTCCACAAAAAATAGACACCAAGATCAGCGAAGACACCGAGATCAGCGCAGCCTCCCGGCGCGCCTGCGGGAGAACGGTGGGGAGGGCGGCGCGCAGAACGGCGGCTCGAGAGTTGGTGGACTCGGTTGCGACGACCGATCTGAAAGATTGGCACGCGAATTAATGAGCAAAATAATGAATAAGACCAAGAATTTTGTGAGGACATGTCTTAAGGATATAAAACATAAAACTATTTGTCACCTTTGAGTCTTTTTCTCTATTATGGGGATTTATAGTTTATATGATGTGGTTTTACAAATTAAATCCCCAAAAAGAAATAGGATATTAAAGTTACGAATCATGCATTATAGTTTTCTTTATAAGCAAATATTTTCTATTATGATGAATGACCATGAAATTTACAATCCTTAAGTTATTTCAATGTAAAATTCATGGAAGACCTTACATTAATTTTGGATCATCATGATGTTCTCTTTCCTTTATCCCAATTAATGTAGATTTAGATAAGAGAGGAGTCTGAGGGCCCCCTTCTTGGATCTGGGGCGCCACGAGGGTTGCTGGACGTCCATCGCGTCCAGTCTGCCAAACGGACCAGTCTCGTCGGTGGAACGACGAGAAAGAAGCTCCATCGCGGAAGCCGCGTGACGCGGGAGCCCCTCCGAGCGTGGAAACCGAGATCCCAAAGTCTTCATTTTTGCAAAGGTTTTTGTCACGTCGTCTGTCGGGTGAAGTTCAGAGGTCTTCTGGTCGATTGAAGGAACACCTCTGACGACGACTCAGCAAGTGCCGACGACATATGTAAACAGTACATATATGACAGTTTTCGCTGTGCCAAGACTCTTGCTGCAATTCCCAAAATGAGGTGTTTTAGGGTCTTGGCTTGGGAATTGAGACACCATTTGGGTGGTTTAGGCCATCTGGGGTGGTCATTTTCATTGACGGTGAGAGCCAACGTTCCGCTGAGTGAAACTGGGTGGTACCTCCGACATTTGGAGGACACACAAGCCGGATGGTGTTCAACTCCGGTGTCGACCGAACTGTTCGTGAAAAAGAGTCCTCGTGTAAAAGGGCCCAGCCCGGTCAAGCCGAGTCAAACCTCTAAACCTTGGTTAAAGCGTGTTGCGGTCTCCGTGTTGTCAAGGTTAGAGCCGGATTCCGAAACTAATCGGTCGGATTCTGAAACTAGGGTTCTGAAACTGGGGTTCTGAAACTAGGGTTCTGAAACTTGGATTCTGAAACTAGTATTCTGAAACTGGGGCTCTCAAACTAGGATTCTGAAACTGGGGTTCTGAAACTAGGATTCTGAAACTGGGATTCTGAAACTTGTATTCTGAGACTGGTACGTCAGATTCTGCAACTGGTATTCTGAAACTGGTGTTCTGAAACTGGAAAGTCAGATTCTGCAACTGGCATTCTGAACTTGGTATTCTGCAACTGGTGATCTCACATCATGCGATAGCGTGTGCCTGCGACTTCATCGTCGAAGTACATCCAAGCCAACGTCATTAGCCCCCCACCCAACCCCCCCGCCCCCCAACCCCCCCTTGTCCGTATCGTGTGATCTCGGCATCACGCCAACCCCTCATCATTCACAAAAGTTGCGGAGGGAATCCACAATTTTGCGGAATCCTAGTTGCAGAATCCTAGTTGCGGAATCCTGACAGTTGCGGAATCCTAGTTTCGGAATTCTAGTTGCGGAATCCTAGTTGTGGAATCCTAGTTGCGGAATCCCAGTTGCGGAATCCTGTTTCGGAATCCTAGTTGCAGAATCCCAGTTGCGGAATCCGAGCTACTAGTTGCGGAATCCTAGTTGCGGAATCCTGCGCAGTTGCGGAACTCGACAATATCCGTGTTGTCAAGAATGGAGAGACCTCGACGTGCACATGTCGTCTACGTGCACTTCACGTGCATGTGCACGTCGTTTGATCGACAGAGATGAGGGAATGCCCTGGACTGCCGGACTGCAGCCCTTGACTCAACCGGACTGCCGGAGTCTTTGCGTGTGGCGCGTGGTTCCATAAGAAATGCAGGCTTTATAGACTGCCTTTCCTGGGCCTGGGGTACTAACCCTCGACTAGCCTGACTAGCTAATTGTCAATTAACCTACAGTAATTGAAAGACTGCAGGAGGAAATTCTGCATGTAGGAACCTTCTACTGGGGAGGTGATGATATCACTAAAAGGACACCTTCGATAGATCTTTTGCGCATAAAAAGGATACGTCATCGCCGCGAATCCTTCCCGAATCCTTCCCAGAAAGTTTGCATGTGATTTAAATTGTCTATCAAGGACTCTTAGATCAACTCAAATGTTGATTTCAACTCGCAGTGGATGAGTCTTACCAATGACACTCTGACGGACACATGGTTACGTGGATGGCATGGTCCCTTCTAAAAAAATGAACACCTTGACCGGCTTTGACCTTGACAAACACTGGGTAAACATCCACTTGACCTTGACGATGTGGTCGGAGTGAAAAACCCAAAACCTGCACCGACCGACCGCACGGCGCAGAAAAAAACCTCCGCGGCGGGTGCCGAACGGCGCCTTTAACTGCTGCGCTGCATGTGCTGCAGGAAGAGGATGGTACCATCCACCTCTGAGGATTACACCATGGCGGACAAGTTCACGAATGGCTGATTCCTTTCGCAAAAAGAGTGAATTCCAAACAGAGTGAGAACAGGTCTTCGAGACATCCAAAAAAATCGAAGAAAAATAACTTTTGATTCATGGTCACTTTCTGTGATCCTACCTCCCGCGCGGTGAAGTGATCGGTCTTAAACGGATTCGAGAAGTCACCGCTTCGACCGGAGAAGGAGTTCACCAAGAAACCCGTCTGGATGGAGAGTTCACCCAGTCCCAGTCCCACGTCCCAGTCCCACTTTCTGATGTGGAAGATTTCCAGCCGGCGCCATATTGGAACAACCGATTTGTTTCTCGTTGTTTGGGGTGTCCAGCAACTCAAGTCACTGAGAGTGAGAACATGTTTTAAGAAGTCGTCAAAACTGGACCCCCATTCGTGCTTTCCGGACTGACCCCGCAGTGCAGCCCCACGGCCCGCAGTGCGGGCACCCCAAAAAGCCCGAGCATCCAAGCTTGATGTTTGTCAGAGTGGAGAAAACCACAAAACACTACAATGGTGAGCAGATAGAAAATCAGCACAAAACACTGTAAAATACTGTGTGTTCACCCAAAAGGTAGGTACCCGCGGGGCTACCATATATATATATATATATATACACACCGACCATCCGCCAACCAAAAGGAATCCCAGACCCGCGCCTGGAGGCCTTAGCTGCGTTTGTGGCCATTTCGGGGCATCGTCGGCTTCACGGACTTCCGGTGGAGATGGGGTGCTATCAGTCCTATCCATGGAAGACGAAGTCGGGATGTCCCTTTCGTCACATGCGCGGCATGGGAGTCACATCTGAGAAAGCACTCCGAAGTAGTGGAGAAGAAGAACAATCTTCGGATGGAAGACGAACCTGTATGGTGAAGGGGCCCGGGTAACGGGTCACGGGTAAAGGAATCGGCCCATCAAAAGGGCGCTCCGTCCAGTCATTGACACGTCCAAACAACCGCAGTCCATTCTTGGACGGTGCCGCTGGGGGTCTATTCCCAACCACAAGTCCAACAGAAGGACACCCCAAAGAAGGACGGACAAGTTGCAAGCAGAACGTACGCAGCATTACGCAGCGCAGCACGTGCATCCGACAGATTCATGAACACGAAGACGTCCAGGACATCAAAAACGACCAAAACTGAGCCGACGGACGAACGGCAGGCACGTCGCGACACGTCACGTTGGCCACGGCCACCGCCGCCTTCGTTCCGGTACCACGGCCCGACACCGGTGGTTCCTTCGCTCCGTCTCCTACCTCGGGTTGGCCTCGCACCGAATCCGTTCCACGGCGAGGCGCCGCTTGGGACGAGGAAGACCTGCGCGGGACCGCCACGAAAAGGACGAGCTGGTCCTGGACCGGTCTCTTTTTACAGGTGATTGGTCATGCCACGCAAACAGGACGTGTACCTGTACGAGTGAGTACGTCAAGGACGGCGGGGTTCACTTGATCCGATCGGACCTGGAACCTGTAGGCAACATCCCGAAGGCAGGCTTCTCGAGTGTTCGGGTCATGAAGGCTCGGGATCCAGTGCCATAGCAGCTGAGTACTACTCAGCTCTCAAAGCAGCAATTTCTGGAGTCCTAAAGCAGCCTTTCATTGAATCTAGAACAAATCCTATTTGATACCGTATGCCTGCAATCACACCATGTAAACACCCGATTTAGATTGGTTTAATCATGTTTCTGTTTCATGTCTTATCGATGTATCTTTATCGGATCCTCTCACCCCTTTCCAAAGCCCAAAAAAAGCTCCGAATGCTGAGCCGAAACTTGGAAAGACGTTCCAGGTCTTCCATGCTTCCCAAGTCTTCACTCCCAAGTCTTCACGTTCCCAGTGAGTCTTCTCCGCCTGTTTGGTCTCCTGTGCATGAAAAAACCCGCTCCTCCGAGTCCTCGCGGGCGATCAAACGTCCAATGGAACGTCCAAGGGGTTGCCGGTGGCACCCCTCAACCCCTTGCCAGTCTTCCTCTCCAACATGAAGATGAACCAAAAACCTGGAGCTTCAAAAACCCACGTGCTTCACCTCCCATTTCTCATCTCTTCATGTCTGGATCGGGTCAACCAGTCCCCCTCAGTCCCCCTCCTTCTCCGTACTCTCTCCATCCGCCTCGCGTGCCACCGCTGGATCGGCGCGACAACACGCTGCCACGCGCCGCCGTGACGCTCGGTCGGCTCGGGGGACCTCGGCGGTGACGCCGCACGTGGCGTGTGGAGAGAAAAACCAAGGCGGGAGATTGAGCAGCTGCAGCTGCATTCTGTTTCATCTTTTTCCAAGCATGTTTTCTCGAGAGGTTGGTTGAAACATCTGGAAGGTCCATATTCCGAATTGCAAACTCTCATTGCACAACCAGGTGTTGAACAATGGCTGCCTTGGGGTGTTGCAGAGCTATGCACACATGGATTTGAGCTTGGCTTACCAAGCCATCTCAAGAACCGCCAGTGGCCGAAACCAGGCTGGCAGCTGTAGAAGCTTCCGTGGAAGGCCCAACCAGAAACAAATCATTAAAGTTCAAGGAGCCATCATCGACACAAAGCCGTTCTTGCCTACCTGCTCCAGTGCTGTCCTCTAATCTAGCCTTCAGCTGGTCATGCAAGCTGCGAAAGCTCTGCTTTAGACCTGCCAACGCTAAGAAGTGCTGAGTGAACCAACCGCAAGCCACCCGGCCACTCTCACATGCATGAACGAAGCCAATACGCGCCGGCTTATCTCTGACACGAAGGTGGCGTGTCTGTCGGCCGGGTTCACATTCCAACATCTTCCACCCTTCTGCTGGACGATTGGCACTGCTTGGCAGGTCCTTCTGGCAAGTGTCAGCATAGACCACGATGCTGGCGTAGGCCAGCGGCTTACATTTGAAGCTTCGCCAGGCCACATCTTTATCGTGAAGATCCCGAAGTATTGAACGCAACCAATCTTTGGTAACATAATAAGGTTTCACCACCACCTCGGGTGAAGCTGCAGTCATGGCAAGGTGCAAGTTGCCCTCAACATTCACTCCGTGGGTAATGAAGTAGATGACTAGAAGCACGTGGTCCTTGCCGTTGACTCTCTGGAGAAACTGACTCAAAATCTCCAAAAAGCGTTGGATGGTTGGAACGTTCTCTTCGAGCAGCACGTCAGCAAAGTTGAGCTTTTGGGAGAAGAGATCTCGAAGCTCTTCGGAGGGGAGATCTTGCAACTCGTTGAAGCCACCATGAAAAGTGCTGTTGAGGATGATCAAAGCATGCCTGGATTTGGTTGGTGTCACCTCCCGCAAGTCAAGCAAGCTGCCATCCTCCCGAAGAAGCCGATCCCTACTACGACGCTGCCATGCCAAACCACCCAAGATGCAGAGCAAGAGCACCAGAATCGACGACACAAAAATGGCCAGTCCTTCCCAAATGCTGATGCTGCCCCGGTTCTGCGAGGGTGGCGCCTTGCAGCCGGCGGTTTTTGGCTGACAAGTGTAGCCTACCTGAACATCCGCCTCCAGGCAACATGGCTGGAAGTACACTGAAGAGCAATTGACTCCCACCCCATTCAAGCAGCAATTCTTCTTGGTCTGCTCTCGGGCAGAGGAGTTTCCATGAAGACGACAAGAACCATCCCAAGGAGGAAGGGCCATACCACATCCCTCACCATGGTCAAGGCAACCGTCTCCACAGGCAGCAACATCACAGCATTTGAGAACACACCTGATTGGCGACCATGGCGGCCAGTGCCACCACCCATCAAGAAGACAAATGGACGGATTATTCACTCCACTTGATGGTCCGCAGCAGCAACGGAAGTTCCCGACGTCTGGCTTGATGCCTGGTGGTTCGAGACAGGTGATGTTGGCACTGCCACAGCCCGCCTGGCGTGAGCATCCAGCTGCATAGGTCAAGTCACACACTTCCTTCGGCTGCTGGCCAATCTCACAGCCTGGGCAGTGATGTCGAGTACGCGGCAGTGGTCGCTGTGGCCATTCCTTTTGGCTGCTTGCAGGCCATAGCAAAGAAAACAAGAGGAAGGGCATCATAGTCCGATGCTGATCTCTCCTCATCCATTCTTTGGGCCAGCAAGAAAGTCGCTGCTTCAACATATCAGCAATGGGAAAGCCTCCTGGAGCATGTGTTTGACGCTCCTCAGAATAACAACACCTGCAAAAGAACTATCAACAACAACCGGAAGTAGATTCTGTGACCCGCCCATTTCTGCTTATTCTCGAAGTCGTTGAAGGAGTGTTCTTCGTTTCATCTTTCCAAAGCAAGAGTTTGACCAAAAGTCCTCCAGATTCATTGATGCAAAAAAAACACCTGAAACTGAACCCCAAAAAATCAACCCTTTGGATGCGCACGGACCCTTTGGATGCGGGGCGTTCCAAAAGATAAAAAGATCCGCACCCCGTCGCGGCGCGAACAGAAGCGGCGCACCGTCCAGGCTGAGGCTCCAGCACTCCTCTTCCTGAGTACTCGGACCTGGAAAAATGCGAGCATCTTCTGATCTCTGACACCAGCTTTGTCAGCAGTAATCGACCCCTCAAATCTGTTCCCTCACAGAAATGGAAATCCTTTCGCCCACTTACAAAGGAGAAACCTGAACTTGAGGTGCCTGAAACCAACCAAGTGGCCATGGATATCGATATCCTTGGGCTGTTCTCCAGAGGTTGACTCACCAAAAAGAGTTACCTATCAGAATATCCTCATCAAGACATGGATCTTCCATAGGTGTTCCTCTGTGTTGCTTCGGTGGGTGTCAAAAGGAGCATGGAGTTTCTTGGACTCCGAAACAGGGAGACAAACAGGGAGCAACAGTCTCCCTGTCAAAGGAGTACCAGTCGCAACAGTCTCCCTGTTTTGGGTGTCAAAATGATCATCCCAAACAGGGAGAACGGGTGAGGACGCGTGGGGAACTCTTTGGCACGGAGACAGGTGACCCGCATGAGGCAGCCCTCAGGTCAACACGGAGAGGTGCTCGTCTCTTCCTCTTCTGTTGAATCGAAACGGTGGCATTGTCATGGAAAAAAACCTTGGAATCTACAAGTCTGGCACCGCAGATTTAAACCTCAAACCAGTCTTCACAAGTGGTTCTCAGGTGAGTTTTCTCACCCCAAGAAGCAGTGTTTGAGCTCTAGACACAGGAAAAGGTCGCAAGAAGACTGCAAACAAGACATACGCATCCGACCTTTCCAAGACATCTCATGCCTGTTTCAACTGTGAACGCACCTATCGAAACCCTGGTGGGACCATGGGTTCATGTCGACGCGTTCGTCGAGTTCGAAGACGTCCAGTTCGCTTCGTCCCCCATGCACCACCCATTTGGACGGTGGATGTCCGATCCGGAGCATGTCAACGAACCCTCCAAGCGCGCGCGCCTGGTGCTTGTGCCAGAGCCTTCGACAGCTGCGCCACGTCAGCATCCAACCTGGCAGTGGCAGGGAATGGCTGATGACCATCTCCATCCAAATATCAAAGAATTGGAGAATCAAAGAATGTTTCTAGAGAAACTCCTTCCAAAGAATCCTAAACCATTGGGCTTGTGGGTGTGGTGCAAGGAGCGGATACCACTGTCAGGTGCTGATGGGTCAGCAACGCACAAACTTTGCTGATGTTGCTGATGCGATGCTGACACAAAAACAATGCTGGCATCGTCTTCCAACTTTGGAAGACAAAGCTCCAAGCAGTGCTCACCGGCAAGCAATCATGATTTTTTCGCAGTCGTTTTTGGATGGATGCTACAAACAAGCATTGGTAGTGCTGTTGGGTAGTGTTTTTACTGCGAACCAATTTATCAATCAGCATCTTCAAAGGAAGTCTGCTGAAGGTCTTGCCTTCTTGTCTTCAAAATTGAATCTGAAGCTTTCTCAAAGCTTACACTGTGCACGATTTCGCAGAAAAAACATCCACATCAGATATGGCACCCATCAACCTCCAACAATCACCACGTACTGAGCCATCCTTTGGTGTGCGCCAAACCCCACTTGCCTCTCACCCCAGTCGCCATGCCGCCACGGTGTCGCCTGGGTGCTTCTCCCAGCTGTCGTGCCCTGAAAGGTCCAGTCTGCCGCATGGGCGCACCCCGCCTGCGGGAAGACCCCGGAAGACCCCGCCCCACATGGTCGGACGAAGAGAAAGCGTCGAGAGTCCTCCGCCGATCGGTGCGGGTCAAGCGCTCGGGGAGAACGCCAAGTCGCTGGGGGACTGCAGGATGGACCCATCAAAGGCAGGGGCAACGAATCAGTTTGCTCGGGTCCGGGTCGCTGTGAGTTATATATTATATATTGATATGTAATATACCAAAAAAGAACGATATTCTATTCGTTAAATACAGTATATATTCAAAAGTTTGATCCAACAGCACCCGCTTTCCTGGTTTCGACTCGATTTCCTCGGGCGCACGACCAATTGGACCACACAGATCCAATGCCCCTACCGCCAAAAGATCGAGCTTGTGGTCCAAAAGAACCCACCGAAACGGTCGACCGGGGACCCCGGACTTTTCGCCCGGTGGACGGACCGATCCCCAGCGCACCGGGTTGTCCGGTGCTTCACCTCCAAACGCTGCACCTCCTTCACAAGCTAGTAGTAACAAGTGCCACGCTAGTAGTAACAGGTGCCTTACTGGTAGTAAGAAGAAGCTAGTAACAAGTGCCACGCTAGTAGTAACAGGTGACACACAAACACCTCCAGACTTTTGTGGACCAAAGAGGATGAATGCAGCGATGTCCTCCGTCCGATCCCGCCTTTTCGAGGGGAGCGACCGAGGCGGGCGTCCTGCCATTCGAGGAGGTGGCGCGCTTCGTTTGGGGTTCGAGGGTGGAACAACTTCCATCAACCATCTACTTGGAAAGGTCTTTCTTTTTGGGAGGACCGGAAGGTGTTGTTGTTGTTGTTGTTGTTGTTGTTGTTGTTGTTGTTGTTGGTTGTTGTTGTTGTTGTTGTTGTTGGTTGTTGTTGTTGTTGTTGTTGAAGCCCCTTTGTGACTCAAGGATGCCGAGGATCATCCACTCGATGCTTCGTCCGTGATTCACGTGCATGCAGTGGATAGCCGTGTGCGCAGTGCTGCTTGCACTCCAGCGGCTGTTGCAGCTGCCGCTTGAACCGTCACCTGGAGAAGCCCTGAGGTATTCCTGCCACCGCCCCACTGACGCAACTTTGGATAGGACGGTGAGCACCTTGATCCCCACTTGCTTTCTTGTATATTCACAATCGTGGTCCCAAGTCCACGAACTGGGTGGTTGTGATTTGATCTCACGAGTTGAGCATTTCATTCCCAGTAGGGGTGAGGGTTGGGTGAGGGCCATGACTCACCTGAGAGCAGAGGGCATTGATCATTTGATTGACGATCATAGAGACTCTGCGAAAATGCATGGCTTCGGGCCGGCTAGTTGGGGAGCCTTTAAAGGCCCGCAGCTTTCGTCGTGCCAAAACTAGAGCTATTCGTAATGGGTACTGTTGGTATCGAGGTAAGCTTCTTGATCGCACGCACCTAAATGTTTCTCCTGCGCCGGAGCTACCTGCCGCCCCTGTCCGATCCAGACCTTCGCGACCGTCCCAACCTGATCTCAGGACACGTGTTCATACAATTGCTTGGAATAGCACTGGCCTGGCTTCCTGGAAACTGGATGAGCTCAGATGCTGGCTGGCTGACCAACCTTTCCAAGTTGTGCTCCTTACTGAGACACGTTGGCAACATGATCGTGAATGGACTGAAGATGGCTGGACACACACAGCATGCAGTGGAGATCCCTATCGATCATGTGGGATGCTCTTCATGATTCGTGCCACGTTGTGTCAACCGAGTCAAATCAGTTAGAAGTCTGTCATCCCGGGTCGTCTTGTTCATGTACGCCTGTATCTTGCTAGGCCTCTTGATTTGATAGGATGCTATCAACATGTCTTTGTGAATCGATACTCATGTAAGCAGAACAGACTTAGCTGGGTCCGAGCTCTAGACAATCTCCTTCATGAGCTTCCTAAGAGGAATAACTTAATTCTGTTTGGAGATTGGAACTGTGGTCTTCCCAAATCCCTGCCACATGTAGGTACTTCTGACTTTCTGAGTTCGTATGGCCGTCAATCGGTCTCGCTTCATGAGGACTGGAATAAGCATCTTGATCTTGTTCGCTCACATGACCTGTGTGCCATCAACACATGGCGCCATGACACAGGACCCACATGTCAAACGGCAAAGGGTGACTCCTCCCACATTGATTACATATTTGTTCGTATGCGGCAAGCTGATCGGGAAGCCAAGGAATGCATGCCATTGGAATCCTTTGATCTTCTTGGCTCGTCTAAGATTGGACATCGCCCCGTAATCGGCTCGATTCGTCTTGCATGGCGCCCCTCCTCTGGAGAGGCGCTCAACCGAGTGACCTATCAGAGCCGTGTGATGTGCCGTGCAGCGCAACAGGACCCGGATCGATGGAACACCTTCCTGACGACTAGCTCTTCCATCTTGACTGAGGCCAGGTGGTTTGACATCTATGATGTTCAGCATGCACAAGACCGTCTCACACATAACTTCCAAACCATGTTTCAGAAACCACACAAGGTCCAGCCACTGTGGCAAATGTCCAAGCGGTTGATGGCCACCAAATGGGAACTGCTTGCTCGCCTCCGTTCCTTGTCGTGTCCGAATCTCTCTAGTTGTTTCAAGGGTTGGCATCTAGTTACTGAACATCACAAATGTCACCTTCAACAGCAACAAGCATCTCGACAGGCACGGAAGGATCGATTTGATCACATGATTGCTGAGGCACGCCTTGCTGCCTCACGACACGATCTCTTTGCATTGCATGCCATGGTTAGGAAACTTTCCCCCAAAGAGATTCTTCCCCGAATCAGCATTCGAGGTACCCAGGGTGAATTGCTGAGTCCGGTGGAGGCCTTTGCACATCTGAAACATTTTGTTCAGACTGCGTGGGATGGACCCATGCTGAGTTCGCCGAATGGACCGGCACCAGGTGTTCCGCTCACTGAAGCTGAGTTGACCCGAGCGTTTGCACGATTGAACATCATGAAGAGTACGGCACCAGGCACATGTCCTAATGTGTGCATTAAAGCCCTTCCTCATGAAACTGCTGCCCAACTGTATCCCTTGTTGGTTCAATGGTGGTCTTCTAGTCCTCCCTTAATTCCTCAACAATGGAAAGATGGATTTTTGTTCTTGTTGCCCAAGCCTGGTAAAACCCCTGACAATGCGGCCAGTTTGCGCCCACTTGCGCTTCAAGACCCACTGGGGACCACGATCCTTGGCCTCCTGACTAATATTGCTAGAGCTAGTGTGCTTGACAAACTCTGTGCCCAACATCAGTACGCCTATCTGCCTGATCGGGGTACCCATGAGGCCATCAGTAGGGCGGCTGCACATTGTCAGCAAGTTCGGGCTAATTTGGCCCGGCTGCGTAGACCTCAGCAGCAGGTCCCCTCCATCCAGAACACTGGTCTGTACGGTGGGCTGACTGTTAGCATTGACTTGAAGAGAGCATTTGACAGCCTTCCCAGACCAGGTCTCTTCGAGGACCTTAGACGGCTAGGTGTAGATGAGCACTGCATCACCCTCCTTCATGAGTGGCATGTTGGTACTAGATACTGGCTTGAGCATAAGGGATATAAGGATCATGTCAATGTTGCTCTAGGTGTCAGGCAAGGATGCCGTGCGGCGCCATTCTTGTGGGCAAGCAGTATGTCTAGGCTAATGACTCGCCTAGCTGAGTGCACCAGTCCAGAGTGGGTTCTCAATGTTCTGACTCTATATGCGGATGATTTTCTTCTGCAGTGCGAAATCACTTGCGAACAAGATTTGTGGGATCACCTACATTTTCTTGGAACGCTGTTTGACATTTTGGATGATGCTGGACTATCAGTGAACCTCACCAAGACTGTGGCGTTATTTCAAAGTGCTGGCAGGAAGTTCAAGAAACTTCAATCCCGCGTCCTTGTTGAACAAGCACATAAGTGGTACTTGCTTGTGCCCCGCTCCAATGGGACTGTCTCCAAAATCAAGCTGGTGGCGGACCTTAAATATTTGGGATGCAAGCTGAGCTATGGGAACTTTGAAAAACTCACATTGGAGCATCGGGTAGCTGCTGGACTCCAGGCGAACAGACGCCTGCATCGATGGCTCTATGGTAAAAAAGGCCTCGACAAATCACAACGAAGGCAACTTTGGGAAAGTGTGGTCCGCACTACAATGACGTATGGGCTTTGGGCCACAGGGATCACCATGACTGGGCTCAAGAAGCTGGTGAGTCTGTTGATTACCATGCAACGGATGATCTACATGAACCATTCTCATCGTACACGGGATTCGCATGAACACTTTTTTCAGCAGAATCACATGGAACATCCACTTCACTTTCTGCACCGCTGCTGTTTGCACATTTTGGCTGGACACTCCGCCAAGCTTGGGCTACGACCTCAGACAGATGTACTCCATATGCTCAAGCTTCAGGGCACTCACTCCATGATTGACCAAATTGAGCTTCTCATTGCTGGAGGCCCTGATCAAACTGTGGCTCCTGCGGCTTTTACGTGCCGGACTTGTGAAGTAGAGTTCTCTAACATTCAAGCCCTTCTTGTTCATGAAGCTCGTGTACATGGCATGAAACATCAGAGAATCCAGGTATTTTCTGCTGTTCGAGACGCAGAAGAGGGGACCTCCATTTGCAGGCATTGTCACCATTCGTTCCCAACATGGAATGCACTTCGAACTCACATTGAACATGCATCGTGTTCCCAATTTGATCCTTTGCAGGTGATGTCAACATCCTTGGCCAATGCACGCGCTTCGTTACTGCCGCAGATCACTGAGATGGACCCTGCTGGTCTCAGCCTGAATCCCTGTGTAGGGGATTACCTCCGGAGTCACTGTATCCTATGTGGAACTCAGTGTTTGCGGTTTCAGGATATGACGCATCATTTGGCACTGGAGCACTCATCCTTGGCCTCACAAGCTACTGGATTGTACCAACACTGGCATGGATCTATGCTTTCCCCGTGCACTTTTTGCCATGTGGACTTTGCTCATACACATCATTGCAAGGTACTCTTCCAGCTGATGGCCCTTCGGACTGAGTGCATGGTCAGTGCAGGTGCCTCCTTATGCTCCAGGATTGCATCGCAGGCAGCTGACCCTGGGTCCTCTTACAAGAGCAACAAAGTAGCTGATCCAGCCGGTATTGCTGGTCACGATGTTGGGATGCACATTCCTCTTGGGCATGAGGGTCCTGGGTCTGCCAATGCGGTAGTTGATGAAGAAATGACTTCGAATTCACCTATGGCCATGGAACGGGCACCCTCACCCTCCTTGCAAGATCATGTGGAACATCCATCCAGAAGTCCCTCAAAGACATCTGAGGATCCTTTCCCGCAGGTTTGCATCATCTGTGCAAATTCCTTTGCCACCACCGACCTCCTGGCGGAGCATATGGGTACACATGACACCTACCATTTGGTACGTGATGCTGTTCAAGGTCAACCCACGTGTGCACATTGTAGAAGTAGCTTCAGGGAGATTTGGGAACTTCAGAGGCACATTGTTCGACGATCCTGTCCGGTTTTTGATCCGCGGCTTCAGCCAACAGGTGCCCTATGCTCAGATCCAGATCTTCAAGCAACTATTCGTGCAGGACGGGCTGTTGAGATGCTTCAGAATCCACAACATCCTGAGGAACGTCTTCGGTTCACGCTCTCATGCAGCATGTGTGGAACAGGCCTCAGCAGAGTGGCTGACTTGACACGGCACCTTCAGACTCAGCACGGTCCTTTTTACCGATCAGCTGATGCCTATGTCCTCCTGTTGGAGGAGCAGCAGCCGGATTGTGTATGCAACCCTCGACGACCTTCACAACCCAGAGCTCACAGGTGCATTGCTTGGCGTCAGATTGCAATGATTGAAGCCTATATCAATCCCAACCACTGGTACTTTTACCTACCATGGAAGGTTGATGAGGATGCTATCACACGTGCAGCACACATCAATCCCAGACTGCATGCACAGGCGCCTCAACTGCTTCGCCATCTGCCTGACCATAATCCAGCCTTCCTGCTGGACAAGAGGGCCTCGTGTGACGCGCTCAGACATCATTGCTCCTTGCGCAATCGAAGTTGCTCGAGTCCCACAGATCTCATGCAGCACATGGAACAGCACCATGCAGTTGAAAGTCAACAGAGTCAAGCCTTGCTACATGGTCTGGCTATGCACTTCCTGGCTCATAGCGCACCTCTTCCATGCAAGGCCTGTGGAGTTGATCATGCCACCTACAACCTGGTGGATCAGTCAGCATGGTGCGCACTCAAACACAAATGTGTGGTGCTTCAGAACCTGACCTTCCTTCACTTGCTCACACTACCTGACTTTGTGAGCCATGGCCGATCAAAAAGTGGAGGTACACGAAGAGGACAAGCTGACCCAGCTGCAGGAGACATTCTTAGGTATGCTCGCAGACGCACCGACACCGGCTCGACACCAGTCAGTGGCCAAGAAGCTGAAAGTGGAACATCAAAGCCGGAAGACAACCAGACCCTCCATGACGACAGCAGGTCACAAAGACTCCAGCCAGACCACACAGGTCTCTCAACGATGCCGGACGCTGGCCATTGTGACCCTTCGTCACGAGGATGCCCTGAACTCGCTAGGATGGCAGGATCAGTTCATCCTGTTCCTCCGCAGGGCATGTCACCTCTGCAGCAATCCAATGTCACGTCTCCTCTCCGGGTGGTCTTGATGCAGACCCTGCTGGAGGAACTGATGAGACGCTTCAAGGGCTTCTGCGCGAAGCTCTCGGACGAGGACTTTCGCCGGCAGAGCATACAGACCAAGGTCATCTTGGAGGACAACACGGTGCCCTACTTGCAGTGGAATCATCAGCAGAAATGTCTTCTGCCATCCCAGGTGCAGGGAATGTCCATCCAGGACATGGAGCAACGCCTTCAACGACTGCACTCAGCTCTTCAAGAACCGAGCAATTTGATCCGCTTCTTTGCCCTTCGAAGTCAGGGGCAAACCACGGGGGTGACGCCATGGAAAATTCAGCTCTCGATAAGGAACGATGCCCTCATGTGCGAAATGAAACACCTCCTAGGCTCGGCAATTTGGATGCTCATTGCAGGTCGCTTGAGAGCACACTCCCAGCAACGATCTCGGGCAGCCCAGGAACTTCAGGAGATTGCATATCCTCGCAAGCCCGGCAACCGCCGTCACTAGGTGACCTGCTACGAGGTGCAATTTTGGGGGCCAAGCTGCACAACGACAGCTGCTGGTGCTGGGCAAATGCGGGGCTGCTCTGCACCTTGTGGGCCATTCTGTGCCGTCAGACATTCTCCTTGTCAGACTTTGGTGTACAGTTGAGGCCGGTTCGTGCTTTTCTTCATGCGCTTCACTCTACACCGGGGCTCAAAGTAGTGGAAGCCTTCATGGATCTTTTTCAGCATGTCCAGAGGACATGTATTCCAAGGGATGTGGGAGAGTTCGTATCTGAGCTCATTGTGTGGCTTGAGACGGAGGCCATCTCGATGACATGAGAACGCCGTTTTGTTGCTGGCACAAAAGTTGAGCGACCTGAGGCTGGAACTTGGCAGTTTCCCTTGGCATTGGACAGTTTGTATGAACTTGATGTTCCTGCCCCCTCATTGCAGCAACTCCTTCAGCCCTGGGTATATGCCGAATCTATGAGGTCAGGTTTCCTCACTGCTGGACCATTGAAATGTGTGTACATTGATCGCCTTGTTATGCTGACGAAATTCCTAGGCCACAACAATGTGCTGGAGCTTGAGCATGAGGTGAATCTGCCCTTCTTTGAGGACGATCGAACAGCAGAAATCACATGGATTCCTCACCGACCTGTCTCAGGAGTTGTGCACCTTGGTAGCCACTCCTCAGGACATTTTGTGACCTTCCTGAAGGCCTGCAATCCGGACTCCTGGTATGAGATGGATGATGAAAAGCCGGCCAAGGTCCATCAGGTCCTTCCCACCTGGGCCAAGCAGCGCTTAGTTCTGGTTTGGTTGTGTCCCAATGATTGTGCCTTGGATACATCATTCCCTACGCTGAATGAGCGCCTTGGCCTGGTACCTGGACCATTCAGGTTCTCTTCAGGAGATCAGCCCACTGAGCAACTTGGCACTTCTCAGGAATTCCCTGAGGAGGAGCAGGACACGGCTACGGACACCTCAGCCGCTTGGTCACAAATTGATGATGCAGCTGCCTCAGATGATGCGCAGCGCCTGACCTTGCTCCTGGAGCGGATCAATGAAGCCTTGCTGCCGCCTGAAACCTGTGTGCTGCAGCGGCTCTCCGGTGCTGATGCAGCGCCTGCTGAAGACTGAGGGATGAGGTAGCTTACACCTTAGCTTCCATACTTAGGTTGCCTCGCATGATCCCTGTCATGCAAGCTCTCAGCTATGCTGAATTTTGAGCGATTTTTGATCATGAGATTTTGCAAATTCATTTCCCTGATTGATTTCAATCAATGTCTGAGTAAGTTGCAGTGGCTAGGCAACACTTGCCTGACTGGCCTTTGGCCTTGAACCACTCCCTCCTGGATGCCACCTGGCACCATTCTTAGACCACTCACAAAAGGCATGTAGAGTCTGCCTTCAAAAGCACTCCCTAGAGGAGTCCGTCAGTCAACCGCACTGATGACCGGCTGCGCTACCCCCTCTGGGCGCGTGAGAAGAAGAAGAAGAAAGTTGTTGTTGTTGTTGTTGTTGTTGTTGTTGTTGTTGGTAGAAACAAAAGCAGCCGCCCAACATAATTGTCACATGTTGTAACTTTGAAACTTCAAGGGGACAAGGTTAGGGATACGGTTGAAGGTTTGAGCGAATGTTGGTTTCGTAAGTAGGTTTACTTGTTGGACTTGTTTCACTGAAGTCTGGCTGGTTCATTTTTAGTGTTTTTGAGGTGTTGTTCTGGAGGGGGGTCGCAAAAAAACAACAACGGGCTGCAGTCTTTGTCTCTAGGAGGGGGTAAAGACAACAACACCTTTTGAGGGGGGCGGTCAAAGAAACAACAACGGCGCTGCTGTTTTTGTTTCTAGGAGGTGGTAGAGGTTCTAAATAGAAGTTTTACAGAGGTTTAGCTGACCGATTACTACTACTACTACTACTACTACTACTACTACTACTACTACTACTACTACTACGATGACTACTACTAGTACTAGTACCACTAGTACTAACACTAGAACAAACACTGCCAATACTGGTGAAAGTACTTGTTGGCTGGTTGTTTTCAGCGGGGGCTCAAAATACAAGGACGAGGCTGCAGTTGTTGTTTCCACACCCTTCTAGAGACAAAGGAAGAAGATATGTTGTAACAGGGCTGCAGTTTTTGTTTGTACCTTGTTGTTGTTGCTGTTGTTGTTGTCGTCTGTGGTGGATGTGTTGTCGCTCTCAACGGTCCCACCGAAACGGCGCCGCTCCACTCGCCTTCCGAAGGCGGCCTAAGGGAAGCAAGGACGACTTGGTCGTCATGAGTCATGTAGACTGAAAATTAAATCAATTCGATATTTGGCTTGTAAAACAAAAAACTCTACATGTTGTATGAAAAACAAGTGTGTATATTATATATATATATATGTTTTTTGGATTGAATCATTGAATCAATTCGATATTTAAAAGCATGAAAAACTGATTTGGATTGTAAAACCTCTGAAAAGTAGATATGGGGGGCTATTTATGACCCAGTCTACGTTTACCAGTCCCTGACAGACGAGTGTCCAGTGTCCAATGTCCCTACCTCAGCAGTCGGCTCTTCCTGTGGTAGGGAACAATCATCACCTCACCAAACATGGGTTTTCCCTGTTGCAACGCTTGGCGCAACCGCCATTGCTCGTTCCCCGGTCCATCCGCCGACGCCTACCCGAACCCCGAACTCCGCGCCGATCCGGGCGAACCGGGCTTGGAGAGGCCCTCCTCACCTGGAGCTGTCCGACTGCAATGCGTTCGGGTCTCCGTCTGAGGTCCGTGGAGGGTGTCGGTCCGAGGCTGCGAGCGGCTGGAAGAACACTCCCCTGGAGGTGTTGGAGGTGTTGGAGCCAGACACTGAGCCGAGCTGGGCGCGCTTCGAACACCCATCCAATGCCACCCTTCGTTGAAGCCGGACACTGAGGGGGTGTAGACGAAGGAAGTAGACGAAGTCTTGGCTCTGTCAAGACACAGTCGTGGCTCTGTCAAGACTGGCACATGTCTTTTCCCAGCCTCCGCTAACTGGAAGTCGTTCTCTCTTTCAGTGTCATACTTAGGTTCGAGGGTGCTCCTAACTGCCGATGAAGACAACCATTTTGCAGAGTGCACCAATCGGTCGTAGCCTGTCGGTTCTCTTGTTCCCAACTAGTCCCCATTCATCACTTTTGCTGGTTGGAGACGATGCTGGGGTGTGCTTCTTTGCATCCAAACACATGTTTGAGACGGGGGCCATCCCTCCTTTTCTAGCAAATCCTACATCTCCATCCCACGCGCGGATAAACCGATCAGATCTGTCCAGATCTGCCCAGATCAAGCCTGCGGGTACACTCCAAACTGCTGCCTCTTGTGCCTGGACAGCGGTGAATCTGGCAGGTCTGGCGAGTTTGGAATTGGGACTGGTCCCATTGCGCTTCCATCGCCGCACCAGCGACCCTCCTTCTGGTTCATTGACCTTCACTCCAATGGGCCCCTTTTGGTTGGGATTTCAGGGGAAAGAGGATGGAAGGAGGAAGCAGGTGACACCTCCAGGCCAAGAGTGCATGCACCACCGGGCGTCACCGGGCGTCACCAACCCAATTCATATGGAAGAGGGAGCACCCCGCTGACAGCTGCGACCAGTGACCAGTGCCCCAGTTCCACCGGAGAGTTCCACCGGCGTGTTTGTCGCGTAGCGAAGCACCGGGTTGGGGCGGTGTCTCAAGTGAAAGGCCCTTTTTGGGAGGTCACGGAACCAGTTCGGTCTTGACCAAAAAAGATGTTGGATGCTGTATGTTCTTGACAAAAGAACTGCTTGATCACTCTCAAAACCTGGTCAGGCTGTCTCCCCCTCAAGCACAACCCCCTCTTGTCAGAAAGCAAACCTGATCAGGTGAGCTGGTGAGCCTAGACTCTAGGTGGATGTGTCTTTCAATCGGGCGACCCCCGCCGGCTGGGAAGACTGGTCTATGTCCTGGGGAGGTCTGAGGTCCTTGACTCCTACTCTCCAAGCATCCCCCGAACCATCCAAATCAGCCAAAATCATCGCATCAGCCGAATCCGTTGCAGGCCCTTCTTGTCCTACTTATGGCCGGAATTCTTGGGGCTTGTCCACCTAGTCTGAAATGAAGACGCTTTTTGCTGTGTCCAGGTTTTGGGTCCCTGGATATTCACCATGTTCCTTTCAGAGAGTACACGCCCTCATGACCACTGCACGGCCCCCTCATCAAACCGTTCGACTGTGCGAGAATTGTCCCCGAACGGTGAAACGCAAGCCACTCGGCATGGCCGCCTGCAGAATGGCCGCCATATCCTAGAGTTGCGTCCGACCAGGCGGTCGGAATGGATTGAAACGGTGAACCAATTCACCCTCGACTAAAAAAACAAGTAGAAGGTCACTACCCTGGATATTGATTGAACTCATCTCAATGAACAATATGAAAGATGAAGTCCAGGGTCAAAGTGGCGGGGACATGTGCGGATGTGCTAAATACGGACTGTCCAAGATCGCTTTATATAGATCAAAAAGAAAGAATGGCTATGGGTCAAAATTGGTCAAAAAGCTGCTAACCATGGTTGACTACAAATAATGAACAGAATCGACGACCTGGCACTTCAGGTGCCATGAACTTGTCTACCGAAGCGACGTCCCATCGAGACAATGAACCAGGAAGCTGACCGAAGGGCATTCCCTTTTTTGGAAAACGCCGAAGTTGCAAAAGTACCAGGCGCTTCGCAGCACGACCGCAGGTTGTTTCCGGCTTAAGTCGTAGATCGACTGGGTGGGTTTTGACAGCAGTCATTCCAGGTTCCATACACATCATACACTTAGAAGAGCTCTTCTCGAGAGAAGGTTTCTTCTGTTGGGCGCGCGGAGCCAACTTCACGCTTTCGATAGTCCAGTCCATTGAGATCTTCCTACCTGCCCTACCTCCCAAAGAAGCGACATGTGCTTGTGTACCAAGGAGGTTACCCCTGGGCTTGGTGTCTTTCTACCACAGAAGCCACAACGACTGTCTGGCGCAAGAACCTGCAAGAAAAGATTTACAGTATAAGATACCTGCGAAAGGAACTGCGACATACTGAACTCAGTGACCCAAATGGATCTCATCCACTTGCAAAAGAAATGCTTTGGGCTGAATGGCCACGCGATCAATCCCACCCCAAAACCAAACGACATGATCGACGAAGAATGGCGGTTTTGATGGCAAGGCCCACTCAATGCTCGGCCCACTCATACTCCTTGAAATAGTCGTGGTTACGTGTAGTTCACCACCTGTTTGGCTGCTTAGTATTTGGATTTCATCCTACCTTGGGGAGGAGCCAACCTGTCTGGTATGAGAATTGGGTCCGAAACCGTGGCCGAAATCGTATCTGTTCAAGATCAGCAAGAACCTGGTTTGGGTTTCAGAGTAGATGGCACAATCCCCAAGGTGGGAGGTGGGTTGGACCCCCTTATTGTACGAAAAAATCAGCGGGTTGGTGCCATCTACTCTCAATCCACAAAAAGAAGTTCTTCTGCCAAACCACTCTCACTAAGTGACCAGCTTCTGCCAAACCTCCGAGAGTCTTCAGCTCTTGCTCTCAGAGAGTCGTCATCGATTCGGATTGACCCGACGCCGGTGCTCTACTCTCGCTGTCGATGTCGATGGAGCGAACAAAAACAACACCGAAGATGTCGAAGAGGTCGAAGACTTATGGTCAAAGACTTCGGAGAGAAGACTTCGGTGAACACAAAAAAACGCTTTTAAAGAAACCCCAATTATGAAAACAAAGACCACTTCCCCATCTGCCACCCGACTTCAATTCTACACTTCGGAGTCCGTCCTCGTGTGCACTTTGGGGCGCACTGGGCTGCTTGGGAACCTGCCAGCCAATGGGGTCTCTCTCGGCGTAGACCCCAGAACCTGGGTTGCACCAAAAAGTGCATACTGCACTCCAGGTTAACTTCTGACGAATATCGATCATGGATCAACAAAGGAAAAATCAACTGCGGACTCTGGATTAGCTGATACTCATTGTAAATGTCATCAAGGCGGTAGGGCCGCGTAAAGGTGTTCAGTGTTGCGGCTTCGTCTTCCAGGTTCTCAAAGAAGGGACAGGAAGCCTGGGCAAAAAGTATTCCCGTCTTTCTCGAAATTACATTCTCCCTGCGTTACCTTCGCGTGTCGTTAACGACACGTCCCAAGGAGAAAAGAATGTTCTCCGATATGGCCATGGATGGCACCAACATTCCCTTCACCGCACGAAGAACAGCAGTTCGGTCGTTGGGTCTTTCCCAGGCTGGTTGCACTTCGCGGTCTTCTCCCCATCCCCACGGACCATCACCACTCCGGGACGAAGACGGACCATCACTCCTCACCCACCCGTTCGAAGCCACGCCTGGTAGGCCACTGCCACGCCTGCCACGAGAACGAAGCGATCCGAAGCGATGGAACCCCCCACAGACGCGAACGGAGCGGCCACTTCGAGCAGAGGATTCGGGTACGGCCCCGGCCCTTCATTCGGAGGGTCCAGACTTTGCATCTGGGCCATCAGAAGATGGTCTTCGTCGTTTAGATCGTTTTCTGGACTCTGATTCTCGGGCGTTGTCGCCCCAAACGAGCTGCGACAGGATTTCATGCACCACCTGCTGAACGTCACAACGTTGAATGATCAGGTGCGGAGCTGGTCGATCAGGTGCGGAGCTGCTGCCTGGTTCGTCTCAATAATTCAATGTATTGTTCCTCTTCCGTTGGCCTACTATTCTTTCGCCCGCCCCAATCTACCCGGAAACGCCCCGGAAGAATGGCTCACGGACAATCCGTCCCAAGTTCCTGTCGTCCCAGTCTCAGCATGCTGAGCACTCACCGAGCTGGGCCCTTCACTCGAAAAACCGTGGAGCCGAGCTTCACCCGAAAGGCGCATCAAAAGCTGAACTACACAACGTTGGTCCTCAGTAAGCCCTTTTGGTTCTGTCTTTTTGGGTTAGACACCCCGGTGATGTGCCCCGGGGGGTCCCCTAGTTGATGTTAGGGTCCAAGTCTGAACTCGTTTTGGCCTTCCCGTTGGTTTGACCTTTTCCCCGGTGCACCGCCCAACGCCAGGAAAGCAAGCCTGGCCGCTGGCCTACCCGCGGCCCTGCGGGCGAGATGGAGTGCAAAAACGCCTGCAAAATCCTCTGTATGGGCTCCTAACGAGTAGGGAAGACTGTTGGGCAGAATGACAAAGTTCACCTATTGAACAGAAAGAAAATGGGATCGCCCGTTTTCTGGCCAAGCTTTGTTCGTCAAATCTTGATACCTTCTGAGGAACACATTACCTGGAAGTGGCAACTGTCCTTCCCAAACAGGGTGGTTTCCATCCACCTCCATGTGATTGTTTTTGGCGTTCATCCGAGAGAAAGCCGTATATACGCCCCTCGTCGTCTTGTCAAGCAAGGAGAGAAAGCTGGCAAGGTTCATTCCCACTCGCTCCCAAATCCATAGACAGCTTGACCCGCCCCTTCCGACCAAGACGAGGACGGAGATTCCCCTGCTTGGTCTGACGGTCGCGCCCGGACGTCACCAGGACGGTAGATGGCACCGGGATGGCGTCGCGCCACGGACCAGGTCCAGCTCGATGGGTGTATCACCCGCTTCACCGGCCCTCTGTCCAAGCTCAAGGCCTTTCCGCTGGTGTCCCATGGTTCTTCCGCTGGGCCTTGGCACATGCGGCCAAGCCGGACGATGCTGTTTCGAAGATCACCTGGTCTATGGCTCTGCACCCGACACCCGACACCAACTGGTGAAGTGAGCACCCGGAATCGCTCAGTCCTCCAAACCCCGTACCCCGTGCTTGGAGACTGGTTTGGGTTTGCCCCCCTCCCACCACTTCGGTCGGGTTGATGAACCAGATCGAAATGGAAAACAAACGCAGCGAGCTGTGTCTGAGACTCCACGAAAAAAGAGAGATTGTGGACCGAAAACCCATCGCTGACCAACATGGAATGAGTTGATGTCTCTTCTGGTTTCTGATTGGAATCTCCGCATTTCTGGGTGCCGGGACTGTGGCACACACCGCGGCCATCGCGGCCGCTAAGGCAAACGGCCGATTTGGCCGGTTTGCCGGCGGATCTTGGCAAAAGATATGTCTGTTAGGCTGTTAAAGTTTAATTCAGGAGCTGTAGAGCGGTGTGGTTCTTGCTTGGGGTTGCCACCTGAGTTGAAACACAAAATGTAGGTTGGGCCTGGTTTTGTGGAGTTCTTTCAAGTGCCTAGTAGATTGTGCTGCACAATGAACGAGCAAGCTCTTTCTTTCCTAGCAGCAAGTTGAAACCAAGACTCATCAGCGGAGTGCGGAGTTACTCAGTGCCGAAGTCTTTGGACACAACACCAAGGCAGGTCTCAAGAGACACCTGAACCAGGGCCCCAATACAGTGGTACATACGGATAGGCCCATAGCCAACACTCCGGGTTGTTCAACCTCTCCGAAGGCTGTAGGTAGCTGTAGGGGAGCGAAAGGCTTTGAGCCAATTCAACTTTCCGTGTTTTTTCGTCTTTTTCTCACACAGAAAATACCAGACAGTCCTTGTTGGAGCCTGCCCCGTGTCATCCGCGCCACGCCGTCTCAGTGCCGTGTCACCCAAACCCCGCGTCCCCGAAGCCCACATCCGACCCAACACGGAGTCGAGGTCGGACATCGGACATCGGGTTGGATCGGTGATCGAAAAGCAAGAAATTCCATGCCACGAAAATGAAAGAGAAAACCAAGAAGTACGTGTTTTGCTCGATGTTCATGTGCTTCGGGAATGATCAGAAAACTCGCCGTCACATCGATTTCGAAGCGACGGACCTCTTTTTGGCGCTCGGAAACCCGGAACCGTTCAGCCGGCGGATTCCCTTTGGGGCTGAGCAATTGGCTGTGGGGTAGCACCAGGTGACCGACCCGTTGACGTACCCAGGGAGGTCTTTCGCTACATTTAGCCGCTACATGGCTCCCACACCCAAACAGATTTGGTGTGATGGGTTCTCACTCTTGCATAAAACCAATGCTGGGCCAAGGTGGCTCTTGCCTTTGATGTCCATTTGTCTCCCGTCTGTTGCGCATGGTGTTTCTGACATGACTCTGCTTTGTTTCCGTTGTCTCCCTTTTTGGTCTCCCATGGTTTTTCTGGATGCTGGGCTGAGATGATTGTTGGTTTTCAGCTTCCTTTTGTGTCCCTTTGTTTCCCGTAGCTCTTCTAGATGATGGGTTGAGATGATTCTGATTTGCCTCCTTTTGAATTTTGCATCCATTGGGTTCCCATGGTCTTTCTGGATGCTCAAGAAACAGCAAGCTGCCGTTGTTGCTTGAGGTCGATGCTGGTGTAAGGGTTTTGCCCGAAAGCACCTGCGAAGTGTTCTCCGTACAGAACGGCTGCCAACTTCAACGATCCACCAGTCATCATCATCATCATCATCACAATCATTTTGAGAGCGGGCAGTTGTGGCAGTCCGCTTTTTGGCCCATTTGCTATGACAAATGGACTACTAATAAAGATTTATAAATACAGTACCTAATTCAATTGTAGTTTAGTTGCTAATTCAGTTCCAATTCAACTCTACATGCATTCTAATTCAAGTTTCTTTCAAACTCAATACTAGCTTAAATCTAAATCAAGTTGATTCAAAACCAGCTTTTATAAACCCATTCAAACCTAAGTTCATGTTGTTAAAATGAAACTAAGAAACAGGTTTCATTCTAAATTAAATCGTGTTGTCTTCGATGTTTTCTTGTTGAAGTCTAATTTAATTCCAGAGAGCAGGTGCTGCTGGGGGTGTGAGTTTCAGACAAAGTGCTATAAAATCATATGTTTTACAATGTCTTCTTGCTCTGGGAGTGGTGGGAAGTAAGTCAAAACACTGCTTTTGAGTAGACAGATAGATTTGTTCAAGTAATATCTGTTGTCACTTTCTTGGTAGCCGGAGCGAACGAAAGTGGAGGTTGGACACTCGAAGTTCCAAGTCGACGAAGTGCAGTGCAATGCCCTCGAAGTCACGCACCTTTTTCTGCTGCCATGGCCAAGTGATCGGCCGAGTCCCACCGCTATGGTGGAGGGCGGTTTGGACAGAAAGGGTTTCATGAAACATATACCATGTTCTCAACATGGTGGCTCAAGATTTCATCTCGAAATCACATCGGTGGAAAGTAGAGATTTTTCTCAATCCACAATCCACTCCTCGTATGAACAGCGGCCTTCTTCCCGGATGAACTCCTGGGAGTCTTCAAACAAGGTTGTGCCGATCACAGAATTCGTCACATGTGGAGTTTGAACTCCAGGGCAACAAAAACTGCACACGTGCCTTCTGGTGACACGTCCGGACCGAGCCACTCCACGGCATGACTCTTCGGTATGCCAGGCGGCGCCAAAAGGAGTAGCTACCACACCATGCTCCAATGGGCAATCTTCAAGGTGCCCTTGGATTTCACGAAAACGGAAGGCTCTCGTGAAAAGCGCGCAGCTGCGACGATGCCGTTCATGTAGTTCAGCTAGTTCGTCTTGGTCGGCATGGTTTTCGGCCAACACTGCATCGTTCTCTTTGCGCAGGAAGTCATTGCGCTCAGACAGCTCTGCCAGCTTTTCTTCGAGCTCGCAAACCTTCTCCACGTGCTGGAGGTGAAGGTCCTGTAGCTGGTTCTTCAAGGCCAGCTCATGCCTCTCATGGCGTCCAGCAGTCACCCGGATTCGGTGTTCACCAAGCTGCGCCAGTGTCGGCGCTCAAGGAACCTGCCAAGCTTGTAGGTGACAAAACTCAGGATCGCTGAGAAGAGCATGAGGAGCGTGCAGAGTACAGTCAAGGGCGACCAAAAATACTCTTGCTCAACGGGACACGAATTGTCGTCCATGGCCTGGATGAAGGTGTCACCAGCCATAACAGCTTTGACCTGGGTGTAACAGACCATTACTGCCAAAGGGATCTTCAGCGAAGAAGGAGTGCTTTTCCACGCCACTGCTTGAACCGGAATCATCTCAAGTTCCTCAGATTCCTGTTCTGCTTGTGTGGTGTTGTTTGTTGTGGTTGGTTGTTGTTTGTGGATTGTGGATGTTGTTTTGGTTCTCTTCTTGCGGTGCTCTGTTGCAAACTCTTGCTTGCTCTTGTCTCTCTCTTCTTTTGTTTTCTTCTTTGCACTGACGTAGCCAGGGTCCCACACCAATTTGATGCGGCCATCGCGCCAGCGGTCTGCCAACAGGGATCTTGTGCTCGTTTTGGTGAGTCCATCGGCGTACTGCCGTTCGCTGGAGACCCAGCGCAAGCTGCCACCAAGTTCAGTGACCTGCTGTTTTGCGACTCTGATCTCCAGATATGTTCTTTTGTCAACTGAGGAGCTGGTAGAGGATGACTCTTTGTGGAATGCATCGTACAAGGCTTTTGCGTCCGTGATCAACGTCGGACACAAACTTGACTTTTCTTGCAAGCGATCACGGACGTTCACGTTGGGGTTCATGATGCAAGACCAAAACCGAGCGATGTACTCACTAGCATCTGATGCTTGTCCAGCGGCTTGTGCTTCAGCACTGAGACTGCTTCTGGCCACCCGATGGAGTTTGAACGATCTCCAATCAACAACGTGGTATGAGGTCTCCTCGTGGAAGACAGTGTCGGGCGTGATGAAGGCGATGTAACCTCCTTGAGAGGAGTGATCCTCTCTTACAGCGTGTGCTGCATCAAACATCACATTGAGTCGAGCCTTGCTGAGATCTTGCCAAGACTGGATGGACTCGAAGGGTTCATAGCGAAGAGTGACATCGCTGTTCTCCTTTGCAAAGCGTAGGAGGGAGTTGCCTTCGATGATTGCTCTCAGCTTGTTGGTCTTCTGTTGACCACTGATCAGGCTCGCACTGCACTGCAAGTGAGGTTGACTTTGGACAGCTGGCCATTGAAGGCTTCCCAACAAGGCACGCAGTTGTGATCGGTCGTGTTCGTTCATTTCGTCTTCTGGTCCACGACCTCGATGTACGGTCACTGGTTTGACCTTTTGGGTGAAGTTCTTTTGTGAGAGGGACCAAGCGAAGTCAGAGCGATTGTGGGTCACTCCGCAGTACTCCATGGTTTCAGAGTCTTCTTGCCAGGTTCGGAAATCGAAGATCTCCTTGAGTCGGCTTTCAGCTGCCAAGTAGGTTTGACATTCACGATCTCCAGCACCGAGCATGTCATCAACATGCAAGCAGATCATACCGCAAGGTCGAACGGTGCCGCAGGGCTCTTCGTGGTGTAGTGTGAAGAGGCAAGGATCAAGCTCATGAGATCGCCAACCTTCTTGGGTGAGTCGACGTTTGGCTTCAAGCCACCAGCGTCTGGGTGCATCAAGTTGTCCGTACACAGGCTTTATCAAAGCCATGCGACTTTCAGGTTGACATCCCAGGATGGCTTTCCGCTGTTGAGGCAATCCTTGCAAAAAGGCAGTTGCAACATCAGCTGACCATCCATTCACACCGGAAGCATTGCGGAAATGCTCAGGAGAAGTGACCTGGCCAATCTCGAGGCTGTCGGGCTTGCTGTATCTAGCTGTCCTGACAAAGCATCGATATCATTGTATCCTCTAACCACCAGACGAGCTTTGGCTCTAGGGCTGCCGTCTGCGTTCTTTGACCACTTCAAAAGCATCCTGCTCGTCAATGTGCGATCAGGATCGGCCTCGGAGGTTGAGGAGAACTCCCAAACACCATTCTCAAAGAAACTTTTCAGCTCCTTGCACTTTGCCTCGTAGAACAGTTGGAGCTCGGCTGCATTGAGGTTCTTTTCACGAACTTCACCTTTGTCTTTCTTCACCTGCCGGATGTGGTGTGTCTTAGCTGATTGGGCTGCCTTTCTCACAAAGCGCATAGATGTCGCTGATGTGGTTGTGGAGGATGAAGTCATGCCCCATTCTTGTCGTTTCGCGGCAGTGATTTGGAAGATGGTCTGACCAATCCATTTCTTTGGCACAGGTGAAGTGTTCTTAAGTTCTTTGGAGTTCTTGACGCTTTTGAAGATGTTCTCAGACTTGAAGTGGTTCGTCACCGAATGAGGATTGGATCCTGGCTCTCGATAGACCGTCACTTGCACATCGTCTAAGTGTTCCACGGGAACTGGTAGGTCACGACGATCTCGGATGTCGAAGAGCTTGGATCTTGGATTCACATGGTGACGTATCAGGCATCCGCCTTTGATCTCCCAGAAGTCTTTCAGGGAGCTCTTCAGTTCCAGCGTCTTGGAGTCATGGTTGAAGGTCCAGCCAGAAGGAAGAGAGTCTGAATCAAGGTCTTCAACTTCAAATACTGTCTCGGCATTCTCTGGCTGAGGAGGCTTCATGTAGGGAGTCACTGAAGCACGTGCCGTTCTCTGTGGGCCAAAGGACACAGTCTCTTGTCGATCAAGACGCATGCGCTGCTGCTGAAAGGTTTCTGGTCTCTCGGGCTTTCGAAATGCGGCCTGAGTGACAGGATCCAACGGTGGAGCAGCTTCTGAACTAGCATGCGGTGTCGGTGGAACCGGTTCAGCTGACGGTTTGATTCCATATCACTGATCTCTGGTACTGCAGGTAGAGCTGGAGGTGGTAGAGCTGGAGCAACAGGTGGAGTCTGAGACTCTGATGCTAGAGGCTCTGGTTCTTCATGTTCTGCAGAAGGTCCAGGTAGATCAGGAGCACTTGCATGTTCCGCTGGTGTCATATGAAGGTCTTCATCAGGGATGGACGGAGTGTAGTCCTCAAGTTCCAGCGGCAATTCATCAAGTCGACGTCTTTTGGAGTCAGGCTCATCGAGATCTTCTTCTTCTTCTTCATGTTCATCAACGTCCAGGAGATTCTGGCGGTTGACCTTGTCCAAATCGATGAAGCGGGTGACTCCACGAGACTTCAAGGACTGCAGGACACGGTTGGCATCTTCAAGGTTCTCAACTGCAGTGTTCTCGAGGTGGTTGAACTCTGGCCTCACATGATGAGGAGCTGCACGAATGAGTTGAGTTTTGTGAGCCAACCAATAGACATATGGCATGCCGTCTTTCTCCTCGACACAGACTACTTTTGCAGGACCACGCCACCTGATCTTGCACAGATCATTTTGTTGAGCATCTCTCCAGTAATGACAAAGTTGTCCAGGTAGAAGGCGCTGGTTGGTACCTGCATATCTCCTCAACAGCGCACGCCTCAAGCGACGATCAGTATCCGCCTGAATGATGGCGGTCTTTGCCATGTTGCGTCGATGTAGATGTTCTTCAAAGTCGTCGGAGGTCTTCAGTGCACAGTCAGCTGAGGAAAGCAAACCAGGTTGCGCAGGCTGATATCCAAGCGCCCACTGAGTTGGAGAGTAGCCGGACACAGTAGGCTGAGCATTGAGTTGAGGCAAAACGTAGGCGAAAGCTTGTTTGACACCATCACGATCTTCGAGGCTCAAATCATGCATGTAGACCTCGAGAGCTTTTCTCAGAACTGAGTGGCGTCTTTCAACATGTCCAAGGCGCTCATGTGCTTCACCAGGTGCCACATTGTGGAGAATGCTGTGTTCATCGGTCCATTGACCAAAATCATCACTGAGCCAGCCACGACCCTCATCGGTGATGAGTTGCTGAGGCACACCAAAGTGAGCTACCCAATGTCGTTCAAGAGCCTTGATATAGTCCTGGGTGCGTTCGCTGTCCAACAAGGCTGCTGCTTGGAAGCGAGTAGCAACATCAAGGATGGCCAGGATTGGCATCTTCTTCTTGCCCAACTTGATCCAGTTGGGTTTCTTGTAGCGCAGGCACGAAGAGCAAAGGTAGTTCTCAGCCACGGAGAGGACTGTAGGGCTTGCTCCACGGGCTGTGAGAAGATCAACCAGGGACTGAGCTGATGGATGTCCGAGGTTTCGGTGAAGCTTTTGAACTACCCTCAAGGCTTCTTGTTTTCCTTCAGCATGAAGATCAACCAGTTTGCCCAAATAGGACTGCATCTCTTGGACTGCATAGGCCCCATCCCAAACTTGTGGTCGTTCACAGGCGCTGATTGCGGTGCTAAGGACTGCTGCAAAGGCAGGTTGGTAGTCTTCCATGTATGAAGTTCTCTTGCCAATGCCAGGGATGTGTCCTTCAAGGCGACAGTGTTCATGACTATGATCACAAAGAAGGTTCATGCTTTCGGCCACTGCTCTCTTGGTAGTGCGAATGGTTGTGTCCTTCTTGGCGGGCCGCCAAACACCGTCAGCATCACAGCAAACACAACCATATCGACATTGGTGGAAGCGAGCATTGTGACCAGGAAGGTGCTTCAGGGCGCTCGTACTCCAGGAGAGTGCCTGTGTTGGTTGTTCAAGATGTGCATGACGTCCACTCCTCACCTGTTGCAAGTATGCATGTCTGCAAAAACCAAGGTGTACTCGATGGTGCCATTCACGAAGGGTGTGGAGTGCTTCTTTTCTCTGCTCAGTTGTGGCCGAGATGTTTTGCATCTTGCTCCATGGACCACAGGAGGGCGACAGGAAGAGCTCATCAGGTTCTTCTTCTTGGAGGCGCTGCATGAACAAGGCACGGTGACTAGCCAAGCTGAAGTTCCAACCAGTGGCGAAGGAGAAGACTTCAACCTTCATGCCCAATGCTTCGGCCAACTGCGAGAGTCTGCTTTTGCCAGCATAGACTTCCCAAAGAACTCGAGGTGGAGGATGGCCTTCTTCACGTATCACGTTATCCACATAGGCATGAAGTTTGTTCAGCTGGGTCTGAGAGTTGGAGATCAGCGTCTTCCAGCGTTTCACTGGCATTGGAGACCCTTGGTCCTCACTGGTTTCTTCCACGTGGTAGATGTGCTCTTCAGTGAGGAAGTCCTCGAAGGTGCCTGAGTCACCAAGAGTTTCTTCAAGCTGGAGGTCAAAGCTAGGCTCCATTGACAGTTGATCGGTGTCGAAGGTGTCCGTGAGAGCCAGGAGGTATTCCTCATGCTTGCCAAGAACAGCTTGTTGCCAGGGATGGTCACCAAACTTCAGACGCTGCTGGAAGAAGTCGATCGTCATCTCCAAGGCCTGGATGACAGGTCGTCCGATCAACATGGGCGTTTCACCCTTCAGAACAAATCCTTGCACCACTCCATAGGTGTTGTTGATGTAGAACGGAAGCTTGCAGGTCCATGTACTGACCTTCTGGTGGTCTCCTCCGAAATGGAACGTTCGTTCACATCGATTCAACTGGAGGTCGTTGGTGTCAAAGCCAAGCTGCTTCAGGTGGTGCACATACCTGACGAGAGGTCCACTGCCCATGAGGAAGCTCGATGCTCCAGGATCCAACATTGCACAATCTGGGCGCTCACGACCATAGGAGTCCTCAAAGATGACCAAGGACTGCTTGACGTTTGCCAGAAGTCGTGGTCGACGGTTTTGGAGTGCCGGACTGGACAATGCATTGTGCAGTTCGATGTGCGGTTGAACCACATCGCATGCAGGCAGGAACCAAAGCGCTTCGAGCATGACCCTTGGGATCAGCTTGTTTGTCTGGAGGCTTGTTGTAGCGATAGGTGCTGCTTTTGCCCTTTCCTTTGGATTTGCCCTTTTTGCCCTTTCCATAGCCAGAACCATAGCCCTTGCTGAACGGAGGTCGAGGGGCTTGTGTGGATGAAGTCGCTGTCGAAGACTGGTCCTGTAGGGCCACGATGGGCAGGAAACCCCGGCTCATCTTGAGGTCGTTGAACCTCTTGCGGGCATCCGTGTAGGTGGCATAGGCTTCATTGTATTCAGAAACATCAAAGTCACCATCATGCTCTTGGGAGTCGCACTCTTCTTGGAAGTAGGCGGCATCATCATCAAATTCATCATACCATTCATCACCCTGCTCATCGTCGAGGTAGTAGGTGCCCTCATCCTCGGGTTCCCAATCAACGGGAGGAGAGTCCCAAGTGGGGTCAACTGCATCATCACCAGCGAAGTAGCCTCGACCCTTGCCGGTCGAGTTGAAGGGGCGCTGCCAACGGCTGTTGACAGACTGTCCGCCACCTTTGTAGTCTTGGCCCAGGATTGCATACATTACTTGTTGGACTTTTGCACGCTCAAGGGACGCGGACTGCGTCATGATCATCTGCTTCTGCTCCCGGGTCAATCCGGACTTGGCCAAAAGGTGCCAGCCCTGCACGGTGTCAGGAAGTTTCACCCCGTGCTTCTCAACTTGTTTCAGCTTGTCGTCATGGTCCGTCACGAACTGGAGGAGAGTCTGACCTTGCCGTCGTTGAAGGTGTTCAAAGTAGGCGGAGAAGTCCGCAGGAAGCTCAACCTTGCTGTCGTAGCGGAAGGCAGAGTCAAGGCGGGTCAGGATGTGCTCCAGTGCTTTGTCATTCTCTGCTTGTTCGATGTCAAAGTCCTCGCATAGTTTCCATGCGGTGCCGCTGAGAGAACCAAGCAAGTTCAAAATGGCCTCACCCTGGCGCTTGCTCAAACACATCTTCTTGTAGTAAATGAGAATCCTCTTGCGCCATTCACGGTAGCCACTCAGGGTGCCATCGAACAAGGGGATGAAGGAATCCCGAGCTGACACGAAGTCGAGGTCAGCTTTCTTGTCCTTTTCAGCTGAAGCCATCGCCGTCCACGGCGAAGGGGAAGCTCAACAGGTGTGGAGCCACAGCTGCACTGCGTGAACTCACCTGCCAAGGGGACAAGGACAAAGGTCTCGTCCAGCAAGAAGAGTCGGGTGTAGTTGTAGTTAGGTGGTAGTTGTATATGTTGGTGGTGGTGGTTGTTGTAGCGAAGTGGCGCGGGAGCTCCCTGGTCCGGAGCTCCGCTACCAATGTCACTTTCTTGGTAGCCGGAGCGAACGAAAGTGGAGGTTGGACACTCGAAGTTCCAAGTCGACGAAGTGCGGCGCAATGCCCTCGAAGTCACGCACCTTTTTCTGCTGCCATGGCCAAGTGATCGGCCCAGTCCCACCGCTATGGTGGAGGGCGGTTTGGACAGAAAGGGTTTCATGAAACATATACCATGTTCTCAACATGGTGGCTCAAAATTTCATCTCGAAATCACATCTGTAATAATCATGTCTATAATAAGAAAGCTGTATATCACGAAAGGTCCGAAAGGTAGCCCTTTAGGGGAGACCTTGAGTTTGTCTTGCGAAGCAAGTGTTGGCGCGTCCGGGTCTAATAATTGATCATTCAATTCAACCCCCCCCCTGGAATTGATTTTTCAATACAGCCCCCCCCCCCTCTAAATTCAATTCTCTTCTGGAGAACGTCTTCGTGAGCCTCTCATGATTTCAGGATAGTTGAAACCCTCTTGAACATTCAGAAAGAGTGCATATGAAATTCTAATCACGAAAGGTGTTCCGCGAGGGAATACATACCCAGAGTTTGTTTTGTGAAGCACGTCAATTCTCTCCTGGGGAACGTCTTCATGAGCCTCTATGGTCTCAGGATAGTTCAAATCCTATGATGCTCCGATTCAATGCTCACCGATGATCTGAGCCATGGGGCAAGTTTGTTTTCCTCAGAATCTTTTTGAACATTTCGAGAGTATATGTTTGAACATTTAGAGTGCATATGAACATATATTTACGACAGGTCGCCTCCGAGGGGATAAATCACCATGTCGAACATTGCATTTTTGTTCCTGCCTCTCGCGTTCTCTTCTCTTCCCGCTGTCCTACCTTTCGTGTCTCCCTCCTCTCAAGTATATATATATATAAGCGTCTACGTCAAAAGTTTTCCTGTAGATCTCTGGAATGATCACTTCTATAACAAAATAATTGAAAGCATCTAATTCAAGAGCTTTCCTCTTGATCTCTGGAATTTTTTCTTGACATATTTAAAAACTATAGTTGAAAGTTTGTTGTTCAATAGTTTTCATTTAAATATCTGAGAACAATCATTTCCATATTAAAAAACCATGTGTATAAGCAATACGATTCTAAAGCTTACCGATTGATTTCCGATGATAGTCATTTCAAAATTAAGAATACCATTCTATATTATACGTTTTTATTCCAAAAGTTGTTCCCTAGATTTCTTGGATTGATCACTTCTATATTCACGCCTACTATAAAAACGTGCATTTCAAGAGCTGTCCCCTAGATCTTTGGGAATGATCATTTGCTCAAAGGCAAAAAATAGAAGCTGTTTATTCCAAAAAAAAGGATCTCTTGGAATAAATATTCTACATAGAAAAGCTTTGCACAAAATATATGTTTTTTTCACAAGCTCACCTCAAGATCTTTGGGACAGATCATTTCTATATTGCAAAAAATGTTTGAATGTGTTCATTTTGAAAAGCGTTCTCCTGGATCTCCAGGAAGTAGGTGCCCCAGAAATGTGTGCGTTTCATTAAACTTGCGGTGATGTGTCTTTGTGTGCATGTCAGATGGTGCAAATCAAAAACAGCTTGAGAAAACACAAAAACACATCTTTTCATGAGAGTCTTGACTGAATCCTCCCACAGAGGATAAACTTCTGAGTTGCGCACAGAGTGCAGAATCTTCTGCAAAGTGGTGCTTGGAAGGAGAGGTGAACTTTTTTTGCACGGGTGGAGCCGCCGTACATGCAGGAGGTGCACAGGTCAGCTTCTGCTGGGTTTAGATGAATCTCCAAATAAGAAAAAGGCAAGAGAACACAGCCAACCGAAACAAACCAACAACAGGCAACAAAACACGAAACCAAACCGAAAAGAAATTCAACTTTGCGCATGCAATGGCAAGACGGCGGTGAAACAGTGACACTTCTGTTGTTATGGGCAATGAATTCTGGCAAAAGTTTCGAAAGGCGCATCATGATGGCTTGGGAGGCAGGAGGCGTTGACTGGAGACACTTGAAAGGCGCAAGTCCAACCACGCTTTGCCAGCGGCGCACACAGTGGCACCATGGGCATGTCTCACCAGGGCACGACTGTGGCAAGCTTGCTGAGAGCCCGCACCACTTTCTCAGGACAGGAACCATGAGTGCTTGCAGTGTTAAACTCAGTGCACCCATTGTGTCACTGTGATAGAGGTTGCCGTAAAGGCTTTTCCTGCCATCCAAAGTTTTTTGCACGGGTGGAGACGCCATGTGTGCGGTGTGCACAGGTCATCTTTGCTAAAGGTTGAAACTCTGCATGTTCAGAAACACGAAACACAAAAGCAACAAACAGCCAAAGCCCAAAAAAAAAACACAACCGAACAGAACAAAAAAGCAAGAACTGCAGAGTTTTATCTGAAACACGGTGAGAATAGGGAACTGTGGCTGCTAGCTGCCTGGGCCTCGAATTCAATTCTTTTGCCTGTCATTTTTTTCCACGAGTACGGACGCCGTGTGGGCATGGTGCCCAGGTCATCGTTGAAGGAAGGGAAGAGCAGTCAGATGGTGGAGAAAAGAACAAAGACCCCAAAACCAACCCAAAACAAAGCACCCAAGCCCGCAGGCCGAAACTCCACCATCTTGTAGTCTTTCCTCTACACTGGGTGAAACATGTGAAACGGAAACTAATGGCAATTAATGGGCCTGAATTATTGAAAGAAAAGGACGGCAGCGCAGGTCTGTGGTCAGGGAAAGTCGCCTAGAAGGCTTCAAACGGACTTTCCTTCCCGAATATTGGTGACCAGCGGCCACACCACAGTGTGGCAAAACAAGGTCACATTGCAGGTCAGGTGTCTCGCGATGCTCCAGCGCTGGTTGTAATCATGTCGACCAGGAGTGACAAAATCTGAGCAGCAATCCGTGGAAAAGACCATTCTTGTAGCACAACCCATTCAACTGGTGGCGCATACAAGGCCAGTCGCATGTTGCCCGACAATAGCCAAACCGTGGCGGCAATTCCTAGCGAGGAAAGCCTGCAGCTAAGGGTGAACAAGGCACAACCTCCCCGAAGGGAGGCAAACCCAGCACCCTTCGGC